TAGAATATGCATTTAAATCTAACAGATCTTATCGAGAGGGTTATCAGAATACAAAAGGTATATATTCAATCAGTTACGAAGTGTTACACATATCAAGAGGACATACATTCAGTATATCATTAATTTAGACCGTTTCATAAATGAACTTGGTTATAACTTCTACATTAGATACTCAAAACAAGTACATAACTCTTAGGAATTAAATTGATATCAACTGGTTGGGATAACAATTGAATTCTCGAGTTGTAATGCGTTGAAGTTGAATACTCATCCAATCTCTGGGGATTCAGATCTCCTGCGGGCTCTCTGGCTCCATGCCAGGCTGTGCTGTGCTGCTTGCGACGGTGCACTACAGATGCTCACTGACCGGCTAGTTAGTATTGGCTTTAACTAGCACAGTTTGTGCACAGGAGAAAAGATGACTGTGGGTCCCAGCAAGTCAGGAAGAGGACCAGTTCGTTCCTGATGAAGCGCTAGTTCTGAATAGTGATTCAGCTGTCCACAGTTCCGACTGGTTCACGAGGCTTGCTGCTGATGCTAACCTCGGGTGGATCCACTGGTTACTCTCTGGCAACCTCCGTTCTCCACTCTTAGAGCAAAGGAAAGTCCTGCACTCGGACACACTGGCCATTACGTGGTGGTCCGGGCTGAGTCTGAGAAAGTCCAGGAGGAGCTCCTAGTCTGAGAAATTTTCAGCAGGCGCACTGAGGGGCTCTGCGCTGCCTGTTTTATCCGGAGGACCTGCAGGTTGTTCATTGGCTGAAAGTTTCATGGGCATCCGAGACCCACGTGGGGTTAACCTGCCCTACCAGTTCCTGATTGGCTGATGATGAGTAACTCTGCCCTCTGACCTTAGAGTTGTAAACAAACTTTGAATCAGACTCTCCTTGAATCTCCCAGACTTTAAGGCGCCAGAGATGACCATTTGTTAGGGTGGTTGATGTGTCTCAACCTTGGGAGTTGTTCCTTATCAGGACACTCTTATCAGCTAGAAAAACACCTTAATTGTGAACCAAATGGAATGGCCTCTCTGTATCAAGCACCACTGAGATGAAGGAGAGAGAGGCTGGCAAGGGAGCAGAAAACTTAATTCCTGTACTTTAATAAGCCTGCCCGCTACAGATGGTATGATGGTAATTACTAACTTTTCAACTTCGTAATAGATTAAATATAGTCTTAATAATCGGTAAACAAGACCCGTTTGTCTCGTGCATAAGAGTTTAACTAAAATCGGAGGACACAGGCATACTTCATTTGAGATGGAGGAACTCAGAACTGGGTGTCACAGTGGTACAGTGGTTAGGATTGCTGCTTTGCAGTGCTGGGGCCCTGGGTTCAGTACCTGTCCAGAGTGTACCCTGCCTTGGGCTCATTGCTTGCTGAGAGCTCAAGCTCTCCTGGGACCCTGATTTGGAATAATAGGTTTGGAAATGAATGAATGGATGGATGGACTCTGAGCTACAGAGCTAAAGCCTGTCACAAAGTTGAATTTAATTTTATTCTAACTGGATTTTGTCAATGTAGTTTAGAAACATATTGACTATGCTTATGATGTTGTGTCTTTTTTTTTTAACTGGCAGCTCCAGTCACTGCCAGGGGCACAGGTACCCCTAAGATATTGTTTGGGTACATAAGAAAGGTTGCAAAATGAAAGGAGGCCATTCAACCAATATAGCCCGTTAGGTAGGTAATCCAAGTATCTCATCCAGCCTGAAGGAACCTGGGCTTCTGTAACATGCCTGGTAAGCTTGTTGTGTACTATCCATAACTTTTGAGAGGACACACAGCAAGATAAGAATACAGTATATACCCACAAGGTAACATACATGCACACAGGATGTTAATAAAGATAGTTGATCAATTTAACCAATGGCATTAAGAAAATGCATAAATAAGGTTTTCATCTTTGTTTATAGTCCAACATACAGTTTGGGAACGTTTAGTAATTGTGCATTTACAAAGATATATACTGTAAGTAAAGGTGAAATTGCTAAACCATTTCCTAATTTAGTCTATGAAAAGAAAAAATGTGATATAAAGATAACTTTTTTATTTCAAGAATTATAACTTTCTCTGGCTTTTTGTCACAGCTTAAAAAATGTTAATTGAGTCTGCCTGAAGGTTATTTGTGCTCTGACACTGCTGTCAGGACTGGGCTTCTAATATCCTGTGAGCCCATGCCCCTAAGGGTTGAATGTTTTTTTGTAATGATTAGGCTTGAGAGTAACAAGTGTTATTAATAAACATTATAACGAAGAAGGACAAGACGAATACACTGGATAAATTGAAAACCACAGTGGCATTTCTTCAGTTTCAAATAGATTTGTTTTTTGTGTCATTTCTCCCCCTTGACAAATGCATGCATAGAATCAGTGCAGCGCTGAGAGTGTGTCACAGAGAAGTCGTTGGTATGCAAAGACATCTGTTGTGTTTGTCTTCATACAACTTCACACATTTAATGAGTAGAGTGCTCTCACTCCTTATTTCTGGAAAAGAATTAGTAAGGGTGCAAATGCGTTGGCAGTTTTACCTACAGTATATGAACTTCATTTAAACTTGTAGACAGAAGAAAGTTAAATGACAAATGACACATGAGAGGTCATGGGCAATTAGGAAATAAACCGACATTTGTTCTTTTCCTGAAAGATCCTTTTGTTATTTAAATAGGACCTTGGTCTTGAATTTTAAATAAATATCCATTGCTTAAAAAAAAATATTTATTCATCTGCCAGACGTAAGGTTTAGGTGCTGTGTTTAGGGGTGAACTGCCCAGTGAGGACTGTACATTTAATGTTTTATGAACAGTAGCTCTGTCCCTCAATTCTACACACTTGATCAATTTTTGTCAAACCTATTATTTAATGTTGCTTAAATCGGCATACAGTTATGTATTGTATGTTTTTGGAATACAGTATACTGTATGTTTACACTAAGGTTTAGGGATCCCGAATTCAATATAAAATATGAATAATATTTGAAATATCAGATTGTGGGGGAATTTAAGACACAAAGAACAGATTTCACAATTTCAGCCTGTAACACTGATCCCTTCTAAGTAATATTATGGAGGAACATGCAGATTAAGGGCTGTTTCTTTTTCTTTAATGAAAGTCTTTATGTTGTTTCCTTTCTTGCATTTAGAACATACATTTGTGATGGAGAAACTTTGTCAAAGATCACTGGCTTTTCTCCAAATCACATAGTATTAAAGTTCATTCATTATGGTTCCACAGTGATTTATAAAAGTGCTACAAGAATGCTGTGGCTGTAGGCTGGTCATCCTTTAAACCTGGCTTTACAAAAGAAACAGATGGAGAGCAGAAGACTGTGCAAGACTTCAAGAAAAAAATGTGAAAGATTTATGAATGACATGACCTTGGAACAACATGCTGCCTAATATACAAAACGCTGAGCAATCATACAGACGTGACTCTGGGCAAGCTCTGTGTAATTGGGGTATGCTGAGTATAAACAATTAAAAAACACTTGTAACCGCTGTGTCCCTGACAGCAGTTCAGAAATTTGTGAACATTGACATTTTACCGGTAGCCATCTAGGTCGACTAAACCTCAAAGGCATGGCACTTTAATTTCTTTTTGTAGCAATTTTTGTTTCAAATAATTTTGTCCATACTTCTTTAGACCTATTCATTTCTTCCAGTAAATGCAGTGGTGTCTCCCTTCTGTGGATTCCTTTTCTAAAAATAATTGTGAACCTGTGATATATTTGCTATTTAAGAAAAAGGTGTCTAACAGCTCTGTTACTGAGCGAATACATAGATGGGTGATAATTAACTGTTAGAATGACATTTTTAGCACTGTTATTTTATCAAAGTTTTCAATAGAAATTGACAAACTGTGACAAACTAGAAAATGTATTTTTTAGATAGTACAGGATGCAAAATAGAAGATACACATTTTTAGTGTCATCCAGTCAGAAAGCGCACTCTCTTCCTTTTTGCCACAATTGTAAAATTATAAACATTAACATTACTATTTAAGTTTTTTGACCATTTTTCAGTTGAGAGTTCTGCATACCAGCAGCAGGTCACTGATCCCTGTTATAGCATATTGAAACATTTTTTAAATCATCAGATGCAACATGTCACATATCAAAGATGGTGTAATAGATTCTTGTATTCTATATAGTATCAAAATTAAAATTCTGGATGGTAGCATTAAGAGAGAGTTCTCTTATTGTGTCTTCCTGAATTCATGGAGTTAGTCCTTCTTGGTGACACAGATTGGGAAGTGCTGTGCTTTTTCAGCAAACTGATTCACTTTGATCTGCGCCTGTTGGAAGCCTGGTGGTGTGGCAGAGTCACACTGGGACTCTTGACTCACTGACCTCTGCGAGGCGAAGGTTTCTGACCACCGTGGTCTTAGGAGTTGAGCGAGTGTCACTGGCCAGATGGGATTGTTTTCTGTAAAACGTAAGTTTTCAGGAGCAGAATCTTACACGAGGTGGAAATTGTATTTCAGGGAAACGATTTTGCTGATATTCTAATTTGCTTTATGTATTTGATTGTGTTTATTCTGTTTTATTATCTTTCTTAAAAACACAGTAGGAATAAAGATGTTTATTTTTTAACCCCTTCCACTGAATTCATTGAGGAGAGAGTGGAGTTTAATTTCCACATGACAGGGCGCAATAACAGTTACAGCTCACTCTTGTCAAGTGCTTGTTAGAGCCATCAAAGAGGCGATTATAAGTTAATCAGTTACTTTCAGCTGCATTGCCTGCAGGTGATGACAGTAGCCACTTAAAAGGAAAAAGTGGAGCCATTGCAGTTGACTGATTTCTTTCCTTTTTTTAAAAATCCTCATTCAACCCTGTGGTGAAAACAGGGTCGTATCGATCCGTAAACGGATTGAACATTTGAGTGTTCAGAGCCTGGGGTTTTTGACCTCTTTGAGCTTCAAGTGTACCTTGTCTTACTGATCGTTAAGGTTTTTCTCCATCCCTTCATTTTTCAATTCGGATATTTGTGTCTTCAACAGCTGTCCACACAGGGGGATGCCAGTCAGGTTATTGGGCCTCTAACTGATGGGCAGAGGAGAAATGTTGCTGTCGTCAATTCCCTGCACAGACTGCACCAGTCAGTGGGGAAGGTAAGGCACACTAGAGGCCAGCACAGCAGGTGCTGCAGGTTTCATTAACTGCTGGGTTTTCTTTCCTGTAGCTCAGTGCCGTAAACTTTGACACATAATTATAATTCCCAAGCATTCGTCTAATAATGAATTCCATTAAACTTTTCAACCCCTCCTTGACAAGCTTGCAAATCATCGTGAAGCAATTTCTGGTGATGACCTTCAGTTTTTGTCTTGTTAATTGGAGTTCCACAGTGCCATTGCAGAGTTTGATCTACAAGCTTGATTATTAATTACGAAAGGCAGTTGCTTTTTCAGAGGTGGTCGTGCGAAACAAAAGGCACAACTGAGCTAGGCAGGCCTGATGAGAAAACAAACCCACCCCAGCTGGCAGTGAAACCGAAGCCATAATATAGAATTAGACACTGGTATCAGTCAGACCAATTACAGCAATTTGCAATTACAGTTGTTCATGCAAAGCGAAATGAAAGAGCATTTGCTGCAGGAAAGGTTGGTGTGAAGCAGAACCCAAGTTTGTTGAATTAAGAATGCATGACTTCCTCGTCGGGATTTTATGGTTCGTAGTATTCTGGGCCAGAGTGATTAATACCTTAATAAAACTAAAATTGCCCTTGCAATGAAATATTTTAAGAAAATTCATCAAGTTTAAAATTTCAAACAAAGGCAGTAAAAACATTATAACATTAAGAGTTACCTTAAGACAGTTCATGAGGAGCAAGCATATGAAACTCCTCATGACACTGCACTCTTTAGCATATAGTTAGAAGAAATGAGGCCTGGGGGTTGTGGTTCAAATTCTGTTAAACTTTAATTGGTTTTTAAAGATGGTCATTTTCTATACATTTTAGCACCTTAACAGACCAGCGATTTGGTCTGAAAAGGCAAGAGAACTAAACAGCGCTATATACAGCAATGTAATAGTACGTACATTACCAGGTAAAACTAACTGAAATGTACTAACTTGGAAGTCATACTAACTGTACATCTACAACAAATGCTTCACATCAGGATGCAGGTACTGTCTTTGTTTGATTATTAAGTTTATTTTGTTATACACTTGAAAAAAAACAAACCTGTAATTATGATTATCTTTAAATTAAAGCTTTGATATACGTATAAAGTTGACCTGATTATATGGAACATGAAATAACCATGACTGCAGTAGTTACTTCAAGAGGCACTTGGTGTGCGTTTGTCTTATTTTGCAGGTGATCTCTAGTATGAGCTCCTTTCCTCCAGCTGCTGAGCAGGCCCTGACTACTGCCTTAGAGGTACTGTACGTGTTACATACTCTGTGTATCAATGTAAATAATACTTTGTACCTGTTGTGCCTGTTATTCAGATTATTGTTATTATTAAGGCAATGTTACTACCTTGACAAGCAGTTCACAATTGCAACTATTTAGAGCAGAAGACAAGATTTTCAGTAGACACAGAATTGTAATTGTAAACATTTTTGTTTCATAGAAAAGGATGGAGTAACTGGGAGATGTGCAGCTACTTATCTGAATAACGCATAATTCATTGGATTTTTTGATGAGATAATGCTTCCACGTTTTAAAAAACAAAGCTCACTTCATAGACAGACCATATCTTTTATCTCTGTCTCTTCTGCCTGACTTCATACTCAAAATTCCATATGAATTTTGAAGTCATGATAAGCCATCTTTGCCTCTTGTTCTGTAGGACTGACTGGCAGTGTCCCAGAAGCACTATGTGATGTCATGTTGCATTTTGTGGGCTCCATTTTGTCATTGGAATAATGCCTTTATTGATCTTGAGCCTTGAAATGTGCAAAATCTATCGGAAGAAGGAATTAAAATGCTGTTGCATCATCTTTAAATATATCTCAAAATATACAAAGTAAACATGCAATTTCCTCATTTAAACACAATAGTGATCAGAATCCATGAGAAGTACCTAATCCTGAGCTTGAGATCGAGGCTTCTCTCTGATGCTGTTCACGTGGTAATAGCATGTGGTATGCTTTTCCGAGGTGGATGGACATAAAATTGAAAAGGAGACCATCTGCAAACCGAGCAAGAGGGGTGTGGTGGCTATGCAGCATGAGACAAACTCAGCTTAAACACTGAAATCAGTTTTGTTTATAATACCAGTGGTGGCACAGTGGTTAGCATTATCGCTTTGCAGCGCTGTGGCCCTGGGTTCAATTCTGGAGCTGGGGTGATCTAGGTGCTCTGATTTCCTCCCCCCGTCCAAAAACATACAGATAGGTCAGTGGGAAAATTTTCCCACAAGCCAAAAGTGTGAGTGTGTGTGTGCCCTGCAGTGGACGGGAGTTCCATCCAGGGTATGGCCATCTTCTGCCCATTGCTTGCTGGGATAGTCTCGGCTCCCCAAAAACCCTGAACTGGAAGAAACGGTTAGAAAATGGATTGATGGATTTAATACTAGCGATAACGTGCTTGGTTTGGTGATGCGTCTAGTTGAGGCGGGTGCTGCAAAGTTTTTAGATTTATGTGATGTGGGAGAAAAACACCCAAAGACCCACTGCATTGGCCTTTAATCTTGTACCATTAACATATCAGATTTTGGTTTGTTAGGTACTTGATAAAGATACTTTGGGATTCTTTTATATTTCAATCATTCTAAAGGTCCTCAAGGCAGATAATTTGTTAAAGTTCTTTATGCTGTGACTTTCATTTGGAAAAAATTATACAGGATATAGCTTATTAAAAATGATTGTCATTTTGGTTATTAAGAAGAGTATAAAAAGATTAATATAAAGTCTTACATGTATGTAGATGCTTCTTTGTTTTTTTACCATCACATTTCCATGTTAACTGGAAGCATTGCTTAGATTAAATCTTTTACTTGAGAGGCAGGCACTGTTGAGCAGAAGCTGCATAATTCTGAATGAATTTTACTTCAGTTTCCTGTAAACTGATCTGACAAAAATGTAGGTCATTTTTGTTTTATTTTTTGCAATTAGTTTCCTTGGTGAATTTAGAACTGGCATAGTTACTGAAGCCATGTATTGCAAAGTCTGAGATTTTATGTACTGCACATTAAGCAAATGTTTTAAAAAATGAAAAATTTATCACATTGGTCTACCGAAAAGTATAAATGGGCCAGTGGAATTTATCTTGATGATGCCACCTCAGTATCCCTCTAGAATACATAAGATTATAATCTTGACACTTTTTTATTATAGATGGTATAATGTAAAAAGCAATGACCATGTAAAGTTTAAAGAGCTGCCAGTGTTTTTAATACAAAAGAATCTCACTGCACGGTGCACAATGGGGACATAAGTTTCCAAATTCAGTATTTTAGAGCTTTTCATTTGCTATTTTAATTACTTTTTAACAGATATTTTATTATTATGTCAATTTTTTGGCTGATGCTTTTATCCCAAGTAATGTACCTTTGTATTCATTTATACAGCTAGGCATTCAACTGAAGCCGTCTCAGTGAAGCCCATTTTCCAGGCATAAAACCTGGAATTTGAGCCTAAAGCCTTTTAGTTTTGAGTCTTGCATCCAAGCCATTAATCCAGACTGCTGCTATTTTAATGATAAGCGCTGCCAAGATCTGAAAAAGTGAACTGTTGTGTTTGTGGTGATCTCAAGAAACTGAGAAATTAGCAGATCTTGCATGTCTTACTCATAAATCTAAATTGACCCTACTGATATAATCTACACTCTTGAAAACATCGGCTAAGGCAGTCAGCTGTGGTAGTAATGTTTGCTGTCATGTACTCACATGCAATTATATTTTAAGTCTTGCTAGTGCGTGACTGAGAGAATAGAATTCCTAATGAACTGGCTATAAAGGACCACATGGATAACCAGAGTTGACGTTTTAAGACAGGATCTGTGGATGGTGTTTTTCTTATGTTTTTGTGTATCGCTCTCCTGTGTGGGTGTGTGTGGGGCGAGAGTCGACTGCTCTTATCTGAGTTGTGCTGCTCTTTGCTCCAGACAGTGCAGACTCTCATGGGGAGTGCTGTGCAGCCGTTGCTTCATTCTGTCGGTGACTCAGTGGAGGCCATTATCATCACCATGCACCAGGAGGATTTCTCTGGGTAATTATCCACACTGTCATTCTCCACTTGTGTTTGGAGCTGTCTAACAGTGCTCTACTAAATGTCTCTGTAAAGTCCCTTGCCACATAGTATTTTTCATGTGCGGACATACATCAATATATTGCTCCTCTAGCACTTTATGAATAAACTATGTAAGTTGACCTCTTTGTTAAAGATATTGAGACCATCAAACCCAAGCCCTGGTTATGTTACAGATGGTTTTTTTTAAATAAATGGTATCTACTTTGCTGTATAATGTCAGCTTTTCTGTGTCGAAAGCTGTGCAATCCTTCCTTTGTGAAACACCTATTGGAGTTTCTTACCAGTTCACTCCCTTTAATCAGCTTAAGTTGCCTGAAGGGTGCTCAGCTGCCTCCTGTAGTTAAAAACAGATGCTGGTGTTTGAGCGCAGGATAACTGGGGAGATCGTGGTTTCAAATCTGGTGGTGTGCCTTGAGCCAGCCCATGCTTGGGAGCCCCCAGTGGTTGATGCCCGTTTGGCTGATGTTTGTGTTGGATGAACCCAGCTGGGGAATCGACCTGCTGGTATGTGGTCAGTTTTCCATCCAACATGAAAGCTCATTGGTTTGCTCTCTGGATTTGTAGTGCATAGGGTTGTTGTTGGGCTAAAAGACACATTTCCAAAAGTGTTATTTCCTCATCTTTTCAGAAGATCTAGCGGTGAGCCAGATTGAGTATGAAATTGGCAATTCCTAAACAGTAGATTGGACAGGCAGAAATAATAGTTGATTTTAAATGACAAAAAAAAGTTGTCTGGAAGCCATTTGAACAGTTCCTACTGAAAATCCCAAGCACTTAATACCCCCTGTAGTGAATCTGTTTTTTTTATCCAAGGATAAAACCCATTGCCATTCTATTTTAATTTTATAAAATGTGATTTTAGATCAGCTCTATTCATCTAAAGGTCCATTAGAGTGTAATAACTGAATTTACATTGTGCAGTGAAGCTTTCTTATCCGTGACGATCTTTTCACGCTGTAGGTCCATTATCAAAGAGCGCAGCTCAGCAAGATGCTTGTCTGAGAGGTTTGAAATAACTAATCTGATCTAATGTCATCTTTAGTAAAAAAAATTCCACCTTATCACAGCATAAGCCTAGTGGTTAGTACAGCTTATTATTACATTTTTAAAAAATAAATCTTCTGACATACTGAAGGATCAAATTGGTCAAAATGTGTCAAGACAGCCATAAGTTTGAATGAGGTGCCTCTTCTGATATGAATTTTTCATATTGAAGGTAATTTAAAGTTTTTGCTTTACCACTGCATAATGACCTTTCTTATACAATAAATGAAGACGTTTTAAGGAAGGTTCCTTTAAAGAATACAGCATTTTTAAAATACTGTATAACAGGAGGCTTAGCTGCCTGGAAGCCCTATGTACTGTAACAGCCTCTTTCTTGTTGATTACTTATCTTAGTCTTTATATTCATAAGAGACACTGCCATATTCAATACAGTATGAAGAGACATGGTATTTAAATTGTGATACTAAAGATATTGTTAGAAAATGTAGGAAATTAATCTGCTGTGCATGTTAAATGGCAAGGATTGTTCTTTTTTTTCTACAGAAGCTGTGCCTTAACATTAAATATTGTAAAACTCCTGCTCTATTCTTTTCAAAGGAATGACTGGTGGGATTTTTTTCCATTTTAAAACACAATAGCTGTGTGCAGCCAAATGCTAAATAAATGATGGAGAAAAAGCATCAAAGTGAATCTCGGATTTTCTGTAATCCTAAAGGGATGATTTCTGTTAAAGGCTATTCTGGAAGACTGGAATATGCCAGCAATTGTATGCGCTTTTAGATATGACTCTGAATGACATAAGGTCATTCAGAATAAGGTTCTGAATGACAATACCATTCACAGGTGAAGTGACATGAATGTTAGCCCCTGCTTTGTTGGAAATACAATGGTGGAGATTAGAAACAGTATTTAGAAAGCACAGCAGTGTTTTTATTCATTACCATTAAGGTGTTGCTTTCATTTTCATGAAATGAAATTTTCAAGTCATGCTGCATATAACTGTAAGGTATAGTATACTGTATATTTGTAAAATAATGACATTCTGTCTCTCATACTTATTATCATTGTAGCTAGAACAATGCTCCTTGTAATGTATCTTATAGTAAGATTTCTAGTCATATGTTTTTGTAATATTCAGAAGACCATCTTCTTATAATTTAGCTAGATTATGTTTGATAGTCGTTTAGTGTCTATCTCATACCCAGACTTTTCAAAATATTTCATTTACTTAATATCAGTTAATAAAACTGTAAATAAAACCTGATTTACAATTTTTGAAAGTATCTTGAGAGCCATGTTACTTTTGTAACACTTTTTGTCTAACTGTTTATAATGTACTGACAGACTAGCTGTATGTTCTGTAAAGTGTTTAACAAATATACTTTATATTTCCTTTGCAGTATTGTGTAACATGTAGAAAATGTTCAGGTGGTAAATGTAATTGCTATGGAGTGCTACTTGTACAGTATGTATGGTTACATGCCCTTGTTCATTATTTGACATAAGCTTATAAACATGTTTATTTGTTAATGGGCGTTTAGATTTCCATTTCTAATAACCCCCCTACACCAGCAGTTTAACTCAGTTTCTGCTGACACCATTAAACCATAGAGGTTGGAAATTCTAGAATCTATCTGTGTTATAACTTTTTAAAGTGGGGTTCATGCGTGTTTTGAAAAAAAATGTTTTAATGATTTTTGTTGTTTTTTGAAGACCACTGTCCAGTTCAGGAAAACCAGATGTACCATGTTCACTGTACATGAAGGAGCTACAGGGCTTCATAGCACGGGTGATGAGCGACTATTTCCGGCACTTTGAGTGCATCGACTTCATCTATGACAATACTGAAGCCATTGCACAGAGGTCCATTGAGCTCTTCGTAAGGAACGCAGGGCTGCTGAGGCCACTGGGAGAAGGAGGGAAGATGAGACTGGCCGCTGACTTTGCTCAGGTAGGTAGATATGATGTTCAGCTGCATCGCTGCACTCTTGATCTTCTCTTTGCTGATATCCTGGCCCACAGCCAGTTTTCAGACAGCTCAGCACAGATCTCTTTCACAGAAAGCTGTCAGTTCTTAACCCACGGCTCTCCACAGCGACTGCGGTAATACTTTCTGGAACATGAAATGGCCTAGGTTTTTAATCTTGTAGTGTGTTCCTTGTACTTCTGCTGTTTGATTCAGATCATTAAATATATGTGCTTTAGTAATGTGACCGTCACAGCTAGCGAAGTAGTGAGACATTTTCATCCCAAATTGGGACAGTAGTCACAGGGTGTCAAGATATTAGAGGAATTAGTTCATAATCAATAATCATTGCATGTTCACCATTATTGTTATTTATTCTAACCTGATTTTTATAGAGATCATTTTATTAGTGTGTATTTATTATTTTTAATTTTTTTATGTTTTTAATGGAGTGTTTATGTTTTATAATGTTTAAGAACAGAGAGTATTTCCTTATAAGTACAGTATATGACCTTAATTATAATATATTTCATGTACTATTCACAGCTGTTTCTGAAAGAGTGAATATTTTAACTGTTATTTGTACTAATGTTCATAAAAGAGTGTTACAGGATTTTATGCTACACAATACATTTTCAGTTCAGAATGCTGTACACTGAGTTTTAATTTCATCTTTTGATTAAGAAAATGTTTTCATCTGTCCCAAATTTGTTTGTACATCAAAATATCTTGTGAGCTGGGTGTTACCAGTTTTTTGGATTGTGGATCTTGTACCTTTTTTTATGGCACTTAAATATTTCTAAAAAAATCACAAAAAATATCATCTGTATGATGGCCTTCTGAAAGAAATGTCATTTTTTCATAAATATGACAAACTCTTAAATCTTTTAGGAGATAAAGCAAAAGTAGTTTACAATCCTCATGAAGCACTGTGTTCAACTTCAACAATCAATACATTGAAATTAAACCCATTGTCTTTTGATACTTTTAAGTAATATTTCTGTAAAGCCTATTGCCAGATGTCTTTTTTGTGCTTTTCAGCTGTCGGACTACAAATCATCAATTCAATCAGCATGGGTTTATTCACTTTTACCTTCTGTAGCCTGAAATTTGTGAAAACAGAGATGAATCTTTCCACCAAACTGCACACAATATCCAGTTAGCTAAACCCTCTCTTAATTTGTCAAAGTACATGACCCTGTAATAAAAAAGGTGCAAAGCCTAGCATTTTAGTCAAGCACATAGTGTTACAGTGGGAAAAGCTAACTGCAGTTGAAGGCAGTGCCTGGATAAACCGTGATTTTAAGCAACTGTCCAGGTGCAGTTTCTGTCTTTGAAATGCTCTGCATTTATGGATATAAGAAGAAAGCCTTCTCTGAAAACTCTTTAAAGCACAGAATGGGTAAAAGCAAACAACATTTCAGCCTCTCTGCCTAGATTTCTGTGCAGAGCTGTCAGGAGAGCAATTGCATCAGAGGCTGTTAGAAGTCAGTGGTTCAAGCTACAAAGTGAAATGCTAGCGATAAGAGGCAAAGGTGAAGTGGTGTCATTGAAGGTGAAATCTGCTTTTCGCCCTTTTGATGTTTGAGGTTCTAGAGATTTGTTCCATAAATGGTATACTATGGCTTGTGAAATGAAAACTGTCATAGATCTGAAATGCCTGTCACATAAGACGAGAATTACCCTGCATTTCACATACTACCTAAGTTCAGATCAGCGCTATTTTATTTTCAACCTCTTTGCTGTAGTCCTGTCTGTCATTAACACCCTTAGAGAAGTAATACATGTGTTCAGGAAATGATGTGTGTGCAACCTCTGTAAATAGGAAACTAGTGATAATTTCCTTAAGTAGTAGAAACGTTTTATATCATTGTTCAGTCCTTACCCATTCATTACATAGAGAGTAAAAGATCCAAACCATGAAGCTTCAGTCAAACCAAAATCTATTTGTTTTTGTTTTTTAATTATTATTTTCATTTTCCAATCTTTAGTCTGTGTATCCAACTTTTACATTTGTTATAATTTATAATTTAAGAGCATACAGTATCTTATCTTCCATAACATTTGTAGGTCTTAGTATAATCCCCAGACCCTAGTGGATAAACAATGCATTTTTTTTCCTTTTACAGCTCTGGAATTAGTTAACATTGTGTAATGTGACCAGAAATGACAAAAACAGTAACCTCTGATTACACACAAAACTGTTTCCTAATTGGCATTGAAAACATTAATTTTGTTCTGCACAATATAACACCATTTGCTTTCTGGAAAGAAAAAAAATTGCAAAGAAAGGGTTTCCTTCTTTTTTCAATCTGCCTTTCACTGGAGAACAATGCTCTCTGGTTTAAAGTGTTACAGAAAGCTGTTTCCTTATAATAACTAGTTATTCTTGGCACTGAGTCATACTCTGGAGTCTCAGTTCGGGACTTCCAGAGATGCCTTGGATGGAGACTGCAGTGTTAATCCACACCCTCTTAGGGATCCTCTGTGGCTGTGAATCAGGTGTTACTCCAGTGGTAGTCTGGCAGCTCTCCAGTGTAACCCTTTCTCTGTGTCAGATGGAGATGGCCGTGGCTCCCCTGTGCAGAAGGGTGTCCGACCTGGGCAAGCCCTACCGATTGCTGAGATCTTTCCGGTAAGTATCCAAAAGCTTCAGCTCTGCAGTGTGGGGCTGTTGCGAGAGTACCAATTTCTGCATAGGTTTAGCAATCTCAGTTGAAGAACAAAAAGGAAATTAAATGGATAACAGGCACCAACTTCCAAAGGACCAGAAGATGTAGTGGCAATCACATCCTGCCAATAAAACCGACTAATGACTAGTGGCATTCGTCCTCCTTAGCACCCTTACAAATTGCGTAAAACTGAAATGCCTGTAACTGTTAAAGCCTGTCAGATTTGTCTTGGATTTGCATTTAAGTTGACTAAACTGTTCAAGTAAAAAAAAACTAGATGCTAGATGGGACATATACTGTAGCCTCCTCCTATTCTGTAAACGTTCTGACAAGATAGTGCACACATGTCAGTATTAAACAAGGAGATTCTATCAGTCAATATATCTTTATTTAAATAGACCACCTTCTCATGTTAAGCTGCATCTCATAACACATGCACGAGAGGGGTAGAGGATGAAGGTCAAGTTCACCATGTACCTTAAATTCCTCAGTCATACAAAGATTTACCATCTTTTAGAGTATTTTTGAAGTATTTCTTCATCTGCTATTAGTTCCTGCCTTAAACTGAAGAAAACACTGAGTGCTGAGTGATTTTCAAGTTCATGTGATGCTACCTTCATTTCAAAGTAAAGTGCATGCATATCATAGAAAGTTTCGGCTGTGGAGCCTTCTTCAGGTGTTCTTCACACCTTCTTCACACCTGAAGAAGGCTCCACGGCCGAAACGTTGTGTTCTCTTTCTTCTTTTTTTCAGCATGGAATAAACCTATTACTTGTTGCTTTGCAGCCTACGCATGCTGACGCAGCTTCCCACCATATCATAGAAAGTAGTGTTTATCAGAATGTTAAAAGCATGATGTGTACAGTTTAGAGGGCTATATTATATGCACAATGTTACTTCACTGTTCCTTTAAGCAAGTTTTTTTTGGCTTAAATCTCCAAGGCGGTATTTGTGTTTTCATTGTCTAAGAGGGAAATAATAGCTACAACACTGACCTTCATTATTTCCTGTTGTTTAATTTTTTTTTATTTTTCATTCAGTCAGCTTTTTAACAGGACTGTAATAAGTCATTGAAAGAAAATAGCTACAGTGCGACTCTATATTTCCAGACTAATTTATTTGAATTTTCTTTGATACATGCATGCTCAACGTCTTGATTAGCTGAAAACAAAACTCCTGTTTGATTCCCTGCAGCCTTAAATCATTACTAATCACTCTTAATAAGGATCTTTAATCAAAGTGTTGGTTTGATTAGTACACAGTCATCGGTGACATTTACTTTTCATCTTTCATTTATCATCTCAACTGTAACTTAACATATCCAGCTGTCAGTGTTACAGCTTCATTTGAATTATGTCCCAAGGTCATAAATTAGTACAGTCCTGCCTTCTGTGATTGCATTTGCTGCATTCTGTCTGCACAATGCACAACTTGGTTTTTGCTGTCTGGAGTACCCCCTGTGTCTGGTTCGCAAGCTTTCAGTCTTTCAGTCAACATTAAAGTTGCATTCATGAGGCTGACTAATTGAATCACTGTACTTCAATTATATTTGTGTGATGCTAATGATAGACAGATTGGCCATTTCCTTATTTGTCTGATGACTATTGCTAGGGAAACTAACTGTCTTTGTTCAGATTAGAATAGGAATTTGCTGTGTAATTGATTCTCCGAAACAATAAAGTGCTTTAAAAATATGGTATTGTGGTGCTCCTTAAGTAAACACACACTGGAGCAGTGAGACAGAGCATATCACAGTTGGATTTTATGTTTTAGAACGTTTAATGAATTTCTAGAAGGTCTAGCCCTCTGTTTTCTTGCCCCTCTGTGTCACAATCCCAGCTGATCCCATTTCATAACTCTTCTCCATTCCAAACACTGGTGCCCAAGAAATGGTAGCAGTCTGTTTTACTCTTAAAACTCATCTTGAGTCTAAAGTCTGAAGTGCAGACTGACTGTCTTTACTCCTGAAGTTCTCAGCCTCCAGTCTGTGAGCTGGCATTGGACCCTTTAGTGAAACCATAGGTTATTGTATTTTTGCTATTGCTCGATTTTTATCCTGAAAAGCCCACAAAGGAGGAGGACTTTGGGGACCTGGCCTGGGCTGCTCATTTATAAGCTTCTTAATTATCCCAGGGATGCAGATAATTACACTGAAGTCTTATCCTTGCAGCTTGTTTCCAAGGATTTCTGTTCACATTTTTATGAGTGTCCCACACTTAAATGCTGCCGCCTTGGTTCAAGCCCCTACTATAGCCGTGGTTTAACTTAGAAGTTAGTTTCCGACACAAAAGCCTCTCATTCTGTCGCGTAACAGTTAACAATAGAAAAAAGTACTCTGTATTATATGGTATATATTTGTACTACTTAGAAGCTTTTGTTTTAGTATATCATCTGTTCTGGTTATTCGATCTTTATTAAAAGGTCTGATACCAAAAAAGTTAGCAGTTTTTCTGATGTTCTGCTCTGTTATATGTAACTCAGCCTCTTTATTTCATGCTGCAGCTTGCTCCTGTTTTTCACAAAATAAATGTTTCAAATTATTTAAAGAAGAAGATATAAACTGGACAAGCCATTTCTCTTACAAAATTAAAATTTGGACTGCAGTGTACAAAATGGCTCTGGACATTCCATCTGAACTGCTTTGAACACTTTTCAATTTGCTGTGATCAGTTGTGTTTGCCAAATTATGCTATTATCCCAAAGGGAACGTTCCATCTCAAATTGTAATACTGTTTTTTTTCTCCCTAGTTCTGAAAAAAAACTACTCGAGCGATCAAACCTTGATCCAATATCTCTAATTAATTCAGACATTAAATTATACCCAAATTATACCCAAAAGTTTCTGGACATGTGTCTTGAAAATTACTTGGTTTATTCATCCTCATCAGAATAGTTTTGTGAAGAGGGATCTTGATTTAGATTATATGCATCATTTGTTCCATTTAAGCAAATATGAATGCTTTGTGAGTTGTGCTGAGAAAACATTTGATCATCTTGATCTATGGTGCGCATTATAACATCTGTGCCCGGGGACAGATATATCATTCCTGCTGCCATGGTATACTCTGGTATGATGAACTCACTATTAAAAGAGCCACTAGACAGGATTGCCCACTCTCCTCCCTTCGGTTTCTTCTTTCATTTGAACCTTTAACGTAGAATATTTGCCAAAATACCAAAGGCTTTCCTTGAATTTCAACAATTAAAGCATGCTGTCTCCATGAATGCTGAAGATATTCTGCACTCTGTCACTGACATTGTAGTGTTGCTCTCCAAAATTCTGTCAGCTTCTAATTAATTTAGTACCCGTTCTGCTTACAAAATTAATCGATCTGAAGCTGAATCTACACTGCTTCTGATACATGTGCATAAATAAAACAAGCTCATTTCTTTGTAGTCAATGCTATAGCACAGATACTAATAAACTTGTATAAACAGCTTATTCATTATATATATTAAACAGATTATACTGCCTCATTGTTTAATTAATTCAATTGATTTTAAAATTAGATTTTAATTCCATTATGACAGCCATGTGGTTTATTATATATAATGCTGTCGCAGTTCACAGCACACAGATAAAATAGCATTCCTAACCAAGTCTGTTTTTGTGATGTCTCTGTATTGCTGGGGTCATGGAGCTCTTTGTGCTTCTCCCCTTCAACAATACATTTGATGTGTTCCATCTTGGAAACGATTTGAAAACTAAGCGTTTCACTGAAACAGGATCTGACACATCGTTTTCCACTTCATTATTTACTTGGCCTGTGACCTCTTCTATCGAGCACTGACTTCCGTCACCAAGTTTTGAATGACAACTAGTGGGAAAATAGTGGCATTCCATCACCTCCGCACCCTTACCAACAGCCTAGATCCCTTTCAAGAGGTAGTTTTCCTTAGGGAGGCAATGTGTGGATGGCATAATGAAAAAATCAAATATCTTCATTGGTCATTTATGCTTTGCTTGACACACAAGGTCTCATAACAGTAGGCTTAAGTGCACAAGTGCAGCATGCCTAACATGGAGGAGCTAGAGAGCTTCTGTATTATATAGTGGTCAGAAATCCCTCCTGAGAAGAATCTGCACCAGTAAAAAAGATACAGCATGCACCTTAATTGAGGTTATCAAAAGCAAATGATCATCTATAAAATTATCACGCTATGAATGAATCTTATCATTGTAAAATTAGAAATATAGTATATGTAAAGTGTTTCTGGGAGATGTGACTCTAAGGCTATTGACAACCTGCTGCCCTAAAAAACATACCACAATTACATGAAGTGGAATCCAAAATAGCACTTTGCAGCCCCAATGTAGATAAAGCATTGGCTCTAGCTATTGATACTGTATATACAATGAGTTTCATACATTATTCCTCCTTTTCTCTGAACTATTGTACATATTTGCTAAATCAGCTTCTAGTTATCCCTTATCCGGGTTACAAATAGGTTTATAGGCACTTATATGGTGTTTATACTGTATGTGTACTGTATTTACACTTCACCTTAAGAAGGTGTTGTACAGTGGTTTGAAATGTCCCACCATTTGGTACTAAAACTGTTGTGTATGCTTGTTGCAAATTTAAGTTTAATAAGGTCATGATGCTGAAAGAGAGCATGGTGTGAGTGACAGAAAATGCTTAAAGCTTGTGGCTGGAACTGCAATATAATGAGTTATTGTGACTGTTGACAGCTATACCTTCTGAGTAAAATCAAGTTTTACTTCCTTTAACGACGCTCTGTCCAAATTAATGCTTTATAAAATGTTTTTAATTGCTAATACAGAATGAGGAAAAGTGCCTCTTCCATAGTATTATGTTCTTGTCTACTGTTATCAGTTTAGCAGTAAATTAAAGGCTTTTTCATTTTAAGGGATACCCATCCTAGTCATGTTTGAATTATTTTCTTCATATCAATTATTTGGGAGAGACGATACAAAACCACTGATGACAGCAGCTTCATGTACCTTAAATCTCTTCGTGCTGGAAACTGCCTGCACCAGAATCCATTTTAAGCCTCTGTGACCTTAAATATCCATTACATCATGGCTGATGTTCTCCTGACATAGTCTCTGAGTTCTTTTTTAAAAGAAAAGTTTAATTCTTACTGAATTATACTTGTTGCAGACGTCTGCTGGGTTACATATCGGTGTCTTGTCTTTTATTTTTTAAAGTCTTTTCATCTCCTTAATATAAAAGCCTTGTACAATGACTATTTTGAATGTTAAACAGATTTTGTTTCAAGAATTTTGTCATTGACATTACTGGTCTCATTGAGACATGACTGAAAGAAGAAGTGGTTAGCTACACAGTTTTCTGGAAAGAAATAGGTGCAAACAGCAGGCAAGGACATGATTTTCCCACCAAAAATCAGATTGTCATCCAAATAACCCAGTAGCCTGTTGGCCTTAATAATTATCTGATGAATATCGCATGTAATTTGTCACCAACTGACCACAAATCCATTTTCCACCACCATCAGTGCATAAGTCCCAGCATTCAGCTCTGTGGACAAATAGAAATGATTTATGCAGATTTTGTCATGCCCGGGCTGGGACCGGTTCATGTGCTGCGGTTGCCAGGGATAACCGCCACATTCGTGGGAGCTCCCAGCCTTTTGCTGAGCCCCTGCAGACGAGGTAGGGATGCTGGTCAATCCATCAGGAAATCAGTCTACAACTCAACCCACTTCATGAACTGCCTGTTTAAGTCAGCTCGCTCCGTCGTGTCAGTGCTCTGACATTGAGATAATCGGCATCGGTGTGCACCCTGTGCTCCCTGATGTTTCCCTGCAATGCAAACGTCTTTCTGGCGGCTGTGCATTTCGGGACTTCGACTCTCCAGCCATTTTCTGCTGAGAGCTTCACCTCTCCTGACAGCTTTGCCCACTTTTTGTCACTGCTCGGTGCCCACGCACCATGTTGCACCCCGCTTCCTGAAGAGAAACATGCCACCCTCTTTTTCAGAACATCACAGACTTTCTGTAGGTTACGAATGTGGGTGTGGTCCACTGAGGTGGACGTACCATACGTACAGTAGTACACTGATGGGCTGCTTAGTCGCTCCACCACCCTCACTATGCCTCAAACAGTCTCTTTAATTGGAGACATCTATGTCGGGTAAATCACCACCTCTCTCTCACGTCACCCTCACACTCTCTCCCTGCTTCACCTGCACAATGCTCTGGGCTTCAGCCAATCACTGCTCTGCAGCTTATTTCTGACATCAGCAACAGCATAACAGGTTCTGACACCATCTTGACTGTCAACGCCAAAATAGATAAGACCCTCCTCCTCTGAGAATCCAAGGCAGAAGTTGGCAGTTTTCTTTGGGTGTCACTGGAAGGAGTAGGGAAGGCCAGATACAAGGCTGTCTACGAAGAATGTGTATTATACTGTCTTATTCACTAAGACAGCAAGACCTTGATTTGAAATAATGGCACATCCACGGCTACGTTATTAAGAGCATATTAGGAAGAGTGGTGTGGACATCATCAACTGAGCCAGAGCAAAGGTACAAAATTGTTCGTGACAAGCACACATGACAGCGCTTTGTGAATGGAGGCTCTTCCTACTCTGAGAAAAAACGTATTGCCCTGAAAGCAGAGAAACATCAGAAACAAGTTTGAAATCCTCAGTCCAACCAGTCGAATAAGAGACCTTGTTAAAAACCTTTTCATCAGCCACCACATGTGACATTTGATTCATCAATGGACCCATCTACAACAAACCACCTTACCCCTGAATGAGTACTGTCTTGACTGCAAAGGGTGGCTGAAGTAGAGGTGGCCATTTTTTTAAGAAAAAAAAATCATTTGTTTTTTCCCCACACACAGATGGGACTTGTTTGGGTTAATAGGAATTTCACAGACATACTAAACTCATTAATGAAGTTGTCAATATGAAGAGGTTGCTTTCCTGAAAACACTTTTGTCTCTGGAAACAAATATTTTAATGTCTGAATTCATACCAGTATTCCCTCTTTTAGGTAAAATTACCATCATAATCTAATACTGTGTTTTAAATTAATTTTCTGAAGTTCAATTGAATCAGAGTACAAAACTCTGCAAGCTGTATGATGGATTCTGCATAAATAAATTGTTCAAATTAAATAACTTTAAAGGTTCTTTTTTTAACCGAATGTAGTTATGAATGCAATAAAATGTATTTTCAAAAGAGCTTAAGGCTAATAAAAAACATTATTTCAACTATGAAAAAGTTTCAATTTATTTACAATACACATACTGTACACAGTACGCTCTTGTAACGCTCTTGTAACATGGGACAGAAACCCTCTGGAGCTCACTTGAAAACAATGTAATCTGTCAGAATTTAAAACTTAAAGAAATAAGAATGAGCCTTGGAAAAATATATTTAGGAACTATGAACTAATAAATTAAATTAACGTTTTAAAATTGGTGGTCATCAGTATCTGATGATGTCAGTATGGCAGTTTCTTAAGACAATATTTGCATAATTTGAGTATGAAAATACACTTATCTGTTTTATTCAATTATTTGTTATACTTACTGTACTGTACAAAACTGTTTGAGGAGCAGTACTTGAAAGCAAAGATTAATGTCAGATGCACTGTGAAGTCTGCTAGCTGTTCCCATTCTTAACAGAGATTTCACGTTTAAAAAATGACCTCTCTCTTGCTTCGCTGTCTGCTATTTGCTTCTTTTGGAGCTACACAACCGGACACAGGATCTTTGTTTCTGATGACTTTGAGAGGTTGCTCTTAAATTTCTCTTGACCATTTTTTGTTCTATTATTTTTAGGCCATTGCTTTTCCAGACAAGTGAACATATTGCCAATAGCCAAGCGGTTGGAGATATCATCCCATACAGCACAATACTGCACTTTTTATTTACTAAAGCACCACCTGAGCTGAAATCCCCACATCAGGTATGAAGCATTTAATGGTTTGATCAGTTTGTATGTTTTGGGCTTATAAATAGAATATACAGTAAGCACTTGATTTCAGAGATGATATTAAAACATTGAAACATCATGTGAGTGAACCATTTCTTCAAATGTTCCCGACCTCTGTAAATTGCAGTGACTCATTCAGAGTGGATATTAAGATTCTTCTGTTCACATATAATTCCCTTAATGGTCTAGCACCGTATTATTTTAAGGGCTTACTGCACAAGGATAGTCTAACCCTTAACCTAAGAACTCCTTATTCTGGCCTTCTTATTCAACAGAGCCATTGACCATATCCATTAGAGACATTGTCATTTTTTTAAAACTCAATTTAATTCTATCTTTTTAATCTAAAGCTTTTAATTTGCGATCTACTCTTGTTTTCTGGATTTTTTCTGTTTAACTTTCTTCTTGCTCCTGTTGTATGCTATATGTGCTTTTGTAAAGGGCTTTAATTTTCTTCAAAAGCACGCATAAGTAATACTGTATTATTATCTTATTCACATGGGCTCATCTGAAGAGTTCCAGAGCTAAAAAAAAATCAGTTTCTTGTGTTGTAAGTGAAAATGCCAAGTGAAACAACTTTTTACTGTGCTGAAACTTGCGTTCCAGAGGGCTGAGTGGTCCATTGCTCGGTATTCCCAGTGGCTTGATGACCACCCTTCGGAAAAGGATCGTCTGACTCTCATAAGGTAAAGCCCCTGAATGGCGTTTTTGTACAGTGCATGATGTAGTCATGTTGTCGACTGCAAATTGATTCCGTTCAAATAATTGAAAAGAAAGGGTTTGAAAGAGAATTCACACATGTGATTCGGTTTTGTCTTTTTAGTTAGTAAATAATTTCTGTAGTGTAACTCAACTGGAACATGAGCTTTATTTTAAATTATTGTTCAGTTTATCTTTTTAGTATTCAAAATTTTCCATGTTACATTTTGCTGTGACTTTCACAGATGCAGGTTGGGGATTAGCAGTATTAGAGAAAAATGGTGAGGACATGAAATAGTCCATGAATTTTCATTTGTGAAGGGCTGAATGCATTTTTTTTTAATTAAGTCCAGTAAGTTTCCCTCTACGGACAGAGGCAGATATGAAAAATTAAGACTTTTTCAGTTGCTCATGGTTAGTAGACATCATTTATCCTACATTGTAATGTTGTCAACACCCACTGTGCTTTGCCAGAAATGGAATGTCTGTCTTGGGCAACCTCAGCAAGCCTGGCCTACAACCGTTCAGGTGCAATGCAGCATATTCAACACCACCAGCCTGTATTTTTGAAACCTCCTTTCGAGATCAAAGCCGAACGAAAGCACAGTAAAAAGTTCAGAAATAGACTTAACTTTGAGTATTGGAAGTGACTTGGAAATAAATTGTAATTTTATTTCAGAGATGTTATATAAACATTTGGTTGTATTTACTTAATCTCATCAAGGAGGAGCTTGAGCATTCAGGAGAAAAAATCCTTCTCTTAGGATGTCATTCTAAAGCTGTCAGATGTGACCTACTTTGGGCTGGTAATACTAATTAGACTCCCTCACCGGCACAAGAGGGACCGTGCATCCTTTCAAGATGTGTGTGTCAGAGTCATTTTCTTCTTTTTCACACCACCCACCCTAGTGGTGCTCAGCCAGTCACTGTGCACTGGCACATGAAGGGTCTCAAGTCACAGTCAGATAGGACTCAACACAGACCCTAGTCTGTGATGTCTGGGCCCCAGGGCATGACCTCTGCCTTCTGACCGAGCACCTTTACACATTGAATAATTTTAGGGGTGCATGTATTAAGACTGGAAGCATAGAGCCTGGTTGTGCTGGCCTTCAGGCAGAACTGTCCTTGTGTCATGGCAGGGGTCCAGGGTGCTCAAGATTGCTGGTTCCTGTGAGCAGGATTCTCCTGGGAGGGAGTGTGGAGCAGCTGTTTGTTCATTGTGACCCAGCCTGCAGCCTGCTGTGGTACAGGCTGCCTCTGATAACTCTCCCCTCAGGAGGACTGGGACAAGCAGGGCCTCACAGTAGCCAACATGCCACAGACAGCAGGGGCTCTGGCCTCAATAACTACACACCTCTGCATGCTGCCAGGCTAGCTGACGTTTGCAGTTTCACACCTCTTGTTGCACCTTAGTGTGTTTCTTATTCACTCTATCCTTGTGTGTCTCATACACAAGTATGAAAAATGCATTTCAGCACAAGTTCGTATGACCTGTTCCTTGTATCTTAATGTCCTTAAGTTTAAGAATATTTATAAAACTATTATAGCAAAGCTGTATATTACCACTTCCTTTTTTTTATTTTTCTAGCTGATCAAATTTCTGCTAAAATCCTAGGGGATACACCAGTTTAGTGTTAACACTTTAATATATTTTGCCAGTGAAGTGTTTTGTCATTAACATTGTGTTGTAAATAAGGATCTGTGTGTATTGACACAGTGCAATTTGATCTACATTATTTTGGTAGCTGATGAGGACATTACTTAATATAGAAGAAGTAATCAATAGATTGTAGGTGAAACAGATCAATAGAATGAAAAGATGGTAGTCAAAATGGTAACACAAGTCAGTCTCTCATTTAGAGTTGATTGATAGCATAAAGTGACTGTCTATTGATTCAGGAAAAATGTGCTGCATCTGTCTTCAGCTTGTTCCCAGAGTAAATGAGCCTCTTTGTCTTTGAGAGTAACCTGTAGTGACAAACTATGCTAATAAAGTGATCTAGATTTACACAAAAACACTGCAGCTAAAGAAATAACCCCATCTCCTACATGAGTATAAGTATTATTGGAACTAAATTTCAGAGTCATTATTGAACTCAATAGATATTGGCCTTAGTGTTTTATTTCTGATATTAATCTTCTTTTTCAAGTCACAGTAATACTGTAGCTTACTGTTGCAACTACAGCTCCACTTTGGAAAAGTTTTTGTAATGTTATTATTCTTACATCTTTTGGTAATGTTTGGTTCATTTTAGAAATGGGAAGTCAACCTTTTTCTTTTAAAATTGTCATACAGTGTCTTTGTCTGAAATATAGCCTAGAAATTGAGAATATATTTTATTTATCATTTCATTAATGAACATAGCGAAATATAACACATGAAAGACAATACTTTCCTTTGATGAAAGGGTTAAGAACACAGTTACCCATTTCAATTTCTGATGATGATTTTTCCATTGTTTTTGAAACTCTAACATTTTTCAACATTTAAGTCATACAATTCTAACTTAATGGTGCTTCATTTGCTGAATGGATTAAATAATCCTCTATTGAAAAAAGAAATTCTTGTGAAATATGTTTAGGCTTTGTTTGGATTGATTTCTGTTTCATAAAGCTTTTAATTCTCATTTTCTTCTCTCACGAAAAGCAGTAAATCCCTGTAAGTGGATGGATTGTACAACTGAAATGACTTTAAGAAGCGAATGGTGATAGTTAGACACTAAACTCAGTAATTTGTCTTTATTTACATGAAGAGAAGAAGGGAGATTTCTATCTGTCCAAATACAAATCAATCCCTTGTACCCGATCAATCAGTGACTGCATTCAGTAGCCTCTCAGCTGCCAGATATGTATTAAATAATCATAACCTTGTGATTTGTATCCTTGAAAGTTTTGAGAGGTGATAGAGTTTATAAAGCAGTAAGAGTGGATATTTATCTTCCATGGTAGATGTCTGCTAATAGAAGCAGGCTTTATCAGTCTCTACAGCAAGTTCGTTGTAGCCTTGTTGACTGAGAAGCAAGTACTGGGTTAGGCAAATTCATTATCTTGGCTCTTTGTTTACTATCTTTGACACGTGCATTAAACCGGTTATCAGAAGTACATCCTTTTTCAAGCTTGCAGAGGTCCTCTATTATTTTACGTTTAGCCTGCTCTGCAACACGGCTGTGTGTGTACTGGCCCTTCGCTTTTATGGGACAAACTTGGATGCTTTGTCATCGCAACAGGATATGCTGGTCATTGTGAAATAGACCCTTTAGGAGAATTATAGATCAGTGTGTCCTGTGATGCACCGTTGTGCAGCCAGACCTTCTTTTATTCCAGTAAACCCTAACCTGATCCTGGGGCAGAGCTCAGGCTGCTGCACACACAGGAGGGAAGATTAAACCCCCCTTCCAGCTTTCAGCTCTCTGTGACGGGGAGGTTTAGCTCAACCTCTTGCTATAACCACAAGACTGTTAACCAGAGCCCTGTCCTGGTTTCATTAGGCAGTGAGTGATATAAAGTGATCTGCGATGCCTAGGCATGGAGCACAATATAAGGTTAAATTTGTATTGTAAAGTCTGCTTGTGTTTGTTGCTTATTCGCTTTAGGATTACCATAAGCCGTAGTGAAAATATCAGTTTCAGTTGTTACAGATTTCACTGGAAAACCTTAAGGTTTAAGTCAGTTGTAAGGAATACCTGCTGCACAAGCACATATGTCATGTATATAGGTGGTATTTGTCACAAAATTCAGATGGGTAGCTGTGTCAGCATGTGTAGTCTGCAAAGGAACAAGTCATAGGTTTATTCCATGCTAAAAAGAGAAGAGAGAAAACACATCCTTTCGGCTGTGAAGCCTTCTTCAGGTGTAAGCTCACACCCGAAAAAGGCTTCACAGCCGAAACATTGTGTTTTCTCTCTTCTGTTTTCAGCTTGAAATAACCTATTACTGTATTTATATGCTAATTTTCTTCTGTTTTATTTCTTCAAGGTAGTAGACTCTCTGACCATAATACTAAAAAACCTCTGTCTAATGAAGAGGCTCAGTCACTGTCAGGGTCAGGCACTGTGTAGTTAGTTTGGGTAGAATGAGTATGACTGGCCGTGTCTGAGCACTTACTACAAATCAACAGAAAATGGGGTAAGAGCACCCCTTAATGCTGATAGAGAGAACTGCTGGAAGGGTGGTGCATCAGTCAGAGATGAAATGCTTGCAGAGTTACTTCACAGTAGAGATCAGGGATATTCCAGACCGTGACTGTGTGGCCTAGAGGGCTCTGTCTTCTCTTGACTTAAAAATATCATAGATAATTTGGGTACAAAACAACTGATGAATACCACATTTTAGGAGTTAGCAAGAGCTCAGTGACTCTTCTGAAACATTATTTTTTGGCTTCCCGTCTGGTTTGACTGCAAAGTAATGTCAAAAGACATTATATTGCAGAATCAATATGGACGCTGGCCAGAGCGCGTCTTCCAGAGAGCCAGAAGTGAGTTCTTTGTCGCTAAATATAAAACCAAAACTCGGCCACATTTTAGTTGCACATCCTGCAAAGTTTTCCTTTGCATGAATGAATAAAACAGTACAGTGGAGTTTCACCACACTTTTTTTTTCCCCGATGATCTCTTGAGTCATGGCTTGTAGCTGAATCATCATTCTTATGAATGGATCTGGCCCATCATCCTTGAAAATGTAAATTTAATGAAAATGTAATTTATGTCTCTAATAAAACATTACATTTATACCTTGTATAAATATTCATTTTACAACTTAATAATATCACAATACTCAACGTGGCTGTATTCAAGATACAGCAGGTGCAGAGAAACCTGTCAAGACTTCTATGTCCCGATGCCTGTAAGACTTTGCATATAATAATGCAAACCTAGAGTTATCAAGGGATGTATCCTCATAATTCAATTTAATAAATCAAAGACTGCAGTGTTTTCAGCATTTTTGTGATCGTGTTTTGGAAAAGTTTTAATTTACTGCCAAAATGTTATATTTTTATGAATTACAGGTGGTGTATATAGATGTTTTCAAGTTAACTTTTTTTACTTAAAACTGTAATGATCAAAATTAGCATAGTTTTATGCGAGGTTGAATGTCAACCTATCCTGCAAAGAGAATAATACAATGTGAAATTTGCTTATTGCTAAATTATTCAGCGTTCTAATTCAGCATTTGGTAGAAGCATCTTTTATAATCTACCAGCTTTGTCCAATGTGATGATGTAGTATTTGTTCTTTGTTCCTAGTAAAATATATCCAGTTTTAAAAAGTTAGTTTGGGATCATTCATGGAATCATTCATGCAATTTTCATGTCTCATATTAAAGGTTTCTATTGGATTCAGATCAGTACTTGAACTAACTTCTTGCTAGACTTCATTAATGTGGCTTTGGCCTTGAGATTCTAGTTATTGTACTGCTTACTTCTAATTTTTGGCCCAGTTTTAGATTCTTGGCTGCTGACTCGAGCACATTTTCTCTAGAATTCTCTTTCGCCTGTAATAATAATAATCTTAATTTTTTAGCACCTTACAGAGTACTTTGTTTCTATTTTCTCCCCAAACGTGACAAGCTTCCCAGTGCCTGTCGACGAGAAACATTCCCATGACATGATGCTGCCACCACCATGCTTAACAGTTGGGATGGTGTTGAGTGGGTGATGTGGTGTGTTGGGCTTGGATCAGATGCTTTCCATTTAGACCAAATCTTTGAAACATTTGTATCTCATCTAACCACTAAACCTTCTGTTGTGACATATTTTGTCACAAACTCTTTATGACAAAGATATAAGAGATGAATGCACTCAGCATTTAAGAAAGGACCGGAATATCTTCGATCTGTGAACACTGAGTCTCATCTCAGACTTATAATTTTGCAAATTTTATCACTGAGATTGGCTTAACAATGTCAATGGCATCCCTAACGAGTGTCCTGCTTGCCCACGTGCTCAGTTCTGAAAGTTGGCTTGGACTGGGTGGTACGACGCACATTCCAGTTTTTAATGATGATCACAGACTTTGAGATTTTCTTGTATTTTCTTTTCTTGTATCAGCTTACCCTGATTTAACCTGTGTCAAAAGTTCTTTGGTCTGCATAGTTGGTTTGTTGTATCAGTTTGTGAGTGATTGCTTGAAATTTTATTCCTAACAAAGGTGTTCTACAGAGATAGGTGCATTTATTCTCAAGTGGAATTATTCCATTTTGATTACACACAGAAACCATCACATAACTGTTTGACCTCTCAAAACAAATCTTTTCGTTGATGAACCTAAACTGATTTAGGGTTGCTGTAGTGAAGAGGTTGAATACTTACGCATTGACATCTTCAACTTTTCTTTGAACTAACTTATTTACAAACTAGCAGCAAATGATCAGTTTGGAGTAGTTTGTGCAGGTTGCGAATAGACCTGTTTGAAAATGTTGCAACTGCAAACTCAAGGGTAGTATCTTTGCAGAGGGACTGCATGAAGGGTTCATATTCAAATGTCAATTTCCAGTAAACAACATGTACGCTTGTCCTATGACGTAGGCCTCTGTAGTGAACATTCAGGTCAGTGCTTATCTGGCTGTAGATCTGGTGGGAGTATGCTCGGACTCTTCTACAGAGCGAATATTGGCTGGAGTCCTTACAGCTGGTAATGTCATTCTCTTGGGCCTTCTATGCTAAGCCTTCTTCTGCTGCTTGTTTCTTTCCATCTCATTGCTTGAATTAGCCTTTTCTGTCTAGCAGAGGAGCAGCTTCTCAAATCAGAACACTGAACTGGCATGTTCCTAAAATAAAATACTGTAACAATGCTGATCACAGGCAAGGAAAAAGCCATGTTCCTGTTGACATTATACTGTTACAGTCTGTTGATTTGTTAAGTAGTTGTGTTTTTAACATCACATAATTGCTGTGGCAGTAATGTTCTGTAAATGTTATCAGGGGGTTACCAAAGGATTCCTGAAAACATCAGGTGTGATGCTCTTTCCATGTTAGACAGCAATATGTAACTAAGCTCCATTGTCATATTTAGATTACACAAGGGCTAGCCTTCTGCACCAGTTTCCTGGTACTAAATTTAGTAGATTTGAGTGAACAGTGATCAAAATATGAATATTTCAGCATTTTATTTTGGTTCGACACTGAGAATAAACTCTTCAGTAAGCCAATAAAGCCCGGTAAGATGAGCAGTGGGATTTACAGTGTATGTCGTTTTTCTTCATGAGTGAAATTCTGACACAAGGGCCAGTTCCTGATTTCCTTTTCTGTTGTTCTTTGCAGGGGGGCACTGGAAGCCTATGTGCAGTCTGTGCGAGCCAGAGAAGGGAAGGAGTTTGCTCCAATTTATCCAGTAATGCTACAGCTGCTCCAGAAAGCAGCAAGTGTCGTTCAGTGAACCGATTCCGTCAGTGAAAACGTTTTTTGTAAACATCTCCCTATTCTGAATTAACAAGCATGCAATGGTAAGCATGAAATATTGATGAAACTGTGTTCAATGGGGAGGAATAGTCTTATTCTATGTATATTATTTTGCTCATTAACTAAAAGGTAAATTGTATTCAGGGTACAACATAACTTTTCTGGTGAAAACATAAAGGACTCTCCCAGCCCTTGCTTCCTTGTAATAATCTCATTATTACATTCCAACTGAGCTCCCAATTACCTAATAATGTCCTTAGGATGTCCTTTTCAGCTCCAGAGGATTTGCAGATCGCATGTTTAGTTAACATCCTTTAGTTCACTTGAAAACCTTTAACAGTAGAAAGGCTGAAGAACACTTAAAATGTCAAATTAGGGAATTATTACTTCAAAGAGCTACTCCAGAGGACAGTGCCATCGGAAGTCCAGATTTCACAGACCCTGTACTATACTGATTTCCAAAAAGTTCTTCTCTTTTATTCCTAAAAACTGAAAAAATACATTAAAAAAATTTGATTTTATTATAATACTATGGGACTAATGTGAAATTATACATTTTTCATTTTGAAAAGGGTTTTTTAGATAAAATATATGAAGTGCTTCTGTGATTTCATGACTTTGTTTTGTAGTATGTTTCAGGATTAAACGCCTTTAGAAAGGGATCTGAAGGATTAAGAAAGGCTTTCTTGCTATCTCTGTCTTTCAGCCTTATGTATCCACTTTCATTGGGGATGATTTTGATGCTGATAGAGGGAACAATAGCATTTTGCCAGGTGGTCCAGTTCTTTCTAATTCAGCTGTTAATCACCTGAATTAGCTTGTTATTAACTGCACAGATTTACAAACTTCTAGCAGCTCTTCAGGTGTTGCTAATTAGAGATGTCGAAAACGTTCAGAATATGATTGAACTCAGAGCACCCAAATTAGAAAGAGGAACTTGAATCCGGGTGTGGGTTCTATTTAAAAAACAAATTAAAGTGTTATAATCATGCTAAATTTGTAACAAGGCTCCTCCTAAAATATCGAATGCCCTTGCTTTCAGATTTCACCTCCTCTGAATTTGAAAGTTTTAATCCAGAAGAAATTAATCTTTCAAAACAGCGTACTAATTTAAAATGGTCAGTTTTGCCAATTAAATCAGATAAGAACATCATCAAAATTGAAGACTGTGTTCAATACCAGTGTGCAATAAAAGTAACAAAAGGTGAATGGATTACACATTTAAAATTTTTATTTATAATATAATACAAGAACATTTTGTGCAAGAGTTTGGTGGGACAATAATTCTGTACATAACTGACAATGATTTAAAATGTCATCACAAAATGGCAAAGCAGAAACAAGCTAGATGGTTGCACTGATTGTGTTACTTGTAATTGTTTTTGAAAATGATTACATTTCTGCTTGTATACATTTGTTGGCTGTAGAAGATACAATAAAGTGCTAAAACACTTGAGGTAAAAATCCTTACCCAAGTGTAGTGTGTGCCCACCCAAAGTCTAATATGGCCTCTTTATTTGTATAGAAATCCCAAGATATACTGAAGAAACCCCAGCTACACAAGTAATATATTCCCTAGCTTGCCAGAAGAAAAAGTTAAATGGATTACAATAGTTGTGCAATATATGGGTTATACAAATATAATTAATGAACAGCTGTAATAAAGCATTTTAAATTCCCCTTTTTACATTTAAAAATAGACATTTTTTATACAGCTCCTTTGCTCCCTACTTTAGCACCACAGGGTTTGTTTCAAGCCTATAGTATGAAATTACCTGAAAAGAAAACTTACCATTTTACTTTGGAAGAGTAAGGCATTTCGGTCATTAAAAAATAAGAAAATATCTGAGCATAGTTAGTGACTAGGTTATATGCTTTTTATTATTTCATATATCTTTAATGTCTCTATTAACTTAAAAGCAAACATTTCATCACAGTAATCGTAACAACCTTGCAGAAGAGAGGGAAGGCAGGCAGGTGAGTCCATAGTCCCATCCAGTTTGTACTGCAAATGCAGATCCCTAAAGATGTCCATTTCCTAATTCTGCTGTGAGCCCTGCAGGAAGAGAAAGCAAGATTGGCAACAGAGCGCTGGTTCAAAGGCTAAACATAAGCAATTTAAATTAAAGCCGTTGCTAAGCAGCAATATCCTCAGTCAGTCTTAGGCAATGAAATCCAGTTCCTGTCTTCAGAAGAAAAAAAAAAGACATGGTGACTTTAACTGCTTCTGGCAGTTTGTCAGTCCCATGTCCCAACGGTGATGATTAAGTAAATATCGCCTTGCAGGCCAAAGATTAAAGACCGTTCATGTAACCAACCCGTAATACTGTAGCCAATGAATGGCCCCAGCACAAAACCAGACTTAAAGAAGGGAGGGGTAGCTGGCACTGACTGAGTGAAATCCAACTAAGAAAACAAATACAAGCCGCTTTATTTTCCATAGCAAAAGGTGACTGAGTAACTTTAAAGGAAAAACACATCCACCCAACAACTAAGCACCTAGGTTTACATAATTCAGCTTAACCTTCAGATACCAAACTAAGCCTGGATGCTAGAAGCTAGAATAGGTGGGTTTTATAGTATGGCCATCAGCACCATGTGTTCCTTCTACCAAGTCCCTATGGTCAACATTCTGTTTTTCTTACATGTGAAGTAATTAGTTTCGAACTCTTACTTATAATGTCAACCTGGCAACCCATCTATTCAGAAGCGTGTTTCACTGGAGCTACCTGACTGAAGTACCTTGCTCAAAGGTAAAGAAGCTGTGTCCCACCTGGAATGTGAACCCACAGCCCTAACAACTCCTCCACACAGCAAGCATCTGTCAGTACAGCCCTATCGCTTTCCCTCGATGTGCCTATCTGGTTTGCTTATAGCCGATGATATTTAAGGGTTGCCAGCTGATCCCAGGGGGCGACAGCTGCTGGTGCAGGTCCTTACAGAGCTGGTTCGTTTCCTTTTCCAGCAGTCCGGATTGAGGCGCTTCTGCTCCTCTGCCAAAGCCTTCGCTTCCATTGTGTACATCCTCCGCTCCTCGTTTTTCATCTTTTTCCACCGATCTCCAAGGATCACGCTTATGGCTCTGCAACACAGAGGCTAAAATTACACACACATAACAGAAGGCCTGCTCTCATGAGTACTGAAAAAAATCCTTTCTTCCTGCAAACAGCAACACTGTTTCTAGCAAAGGCATAAATGTGGCAGTAAAATCTGAAAACTCCACTTAGAAATGGGAACAAGACTGAGTAATAGGTCCCTTATAAAATGCTCGAATCAAAGAAAGTGGATGCACAGAACTGGCAAGCTATACAAAACTTACACTATTTATAGTCGCTGATTCCAATAACTTACACTGCTCTCTACTTCTATATCAGTGTATTTCTGTTATAATTTCTTTATGCATTCAGATTTCCTCTCCTTTAAAAGTTTCTCACCCCCTCGTTGTGATGCAATTAAGAGTATTTCATTAAAAGGTTACATTAAAGGTTAATGACAACTATATGTGATTAAGTCTTTCTACTGTTAACCATGTACACCAATCTCACTCTCACTTTCTCAAAACAATAGCTAGGTGCCTACAGAGACAGAGCTGAGCTATATCTATTTTTTGCATTTGTCTCCTTTCCTGACTGGTCTTCCTTAAATAACACTTGTTGGTCACAGACCAGCAGCTGTTAATATCTGGTATGATGTACTGCACCCTTGCAGATGTCTGTTACAGTTGCGACAAGGCTTTAAATTAGCAGCCACAGTGCATGGCTACTGAGTGCCTTTGTCAGGCAAGATATAAAACTGGAAGTGAGGTTAGTATTTTTATGCCTTCCACCCTTCCAACACACATGAAACCCTATTCCTACATTGGTGGTGTGCTCTCAAAACTGCCAAATGCAAGAACAAGCATCAATCAGAGACCCCCAAAAAAACTTAGGCATTAAGGAGTAATGGCAGTACCAGTACAATAGCCCAGGGCATGAAGTGTATTCATGTAAAACAAACTGATGAAATGAGCTCTTCCCACTTTTTATCTAATGGAGTATTCATGTAACAGCTCAACCTGGGGCGAGCATGGAGGAGAAGAAAAGCATTTAGAGACATCTGCCCTTGTCGTCTGTCCTGCATCTAATGGGAATTTTCTGTAACAATGTATGAACCTCACACTCAATATCCATCATAAGGCCAGTGTACAAACCTGTTATCCTTCCCTGGGTACATCTGTGTATACTCCACTCTGTATTTTTTTGCAAAAAGCATGAAGGCATTCATTGGTCTCTTGCACTTGGTAGGCGTGGCACTGTTTGCTGTCCCTGAGCTGTGACTCTTATTTGATTTGCTATAAAAAGTACAGGAGGGCTGGGAAGATCCTGAAGGCTCAAAGTCCCTGCTTGATTTCTCACAGTCCGGGCTGACGGCTCCGCCGCTGGAGAGGGAGGCCCTGCGCTGGCGCGCCATGCTGCTCAGCACATACACTGCTGAGGAGTCCAGCGGGGTGAAGTCGTAGCTGTGCACAGAGAAACACGTAGGAACCACGTCACAGCTAGGCCACACCCCCCATCTCAGGCTGCTGCTGTCTGACAAGACACCCCCCTTCACAACTGACTTACTTCCACCATCTAATTTTTCGTGCGAGTTGGAAAAACTACCAGTAAGCTGGCTTTGACAAAATACCCCCCCCCCCCCAAATAACCACCTAAGGTTTGATTTACCTCCTGAAGGTGTCAAAAACAACTGAATCATCAAAGTTTATGGCATCAGGGTGTCCAGGAGGTAGACAGAGATCTCCAACCTGCATCTCGTAGCAGGGTATTCCATGCTGGACTACGGTAAGGCTCGGATAAAAGGAAGACCATCCTGGGCGGGAGAAAAGAACAATATATAGTGTAACAAAAGACAGGCAACCACAAAGAGAACCCACGACAGGAACTGTCCGTAATGGAAAAATAAAACAATTCTATCAACATTCAGATCACCGTTCTAGGTCCTGTCCGACTGCTTGGCACCTACTGCCCGTAGTCGTAGCTGTAATTCTCTTACGATATCTCTACCAGTCCTTTTTTACGATACTCAGGGTTTGTAACTGACCATAAAGTGTTTATCGCAAAATATCTGCATTTGTTTACCTTTGTTTTTCACATAAAAGGGATGATCCAAACTGCATTCAGCAGTTAAAAGGCCATCTTCTTGGGAACCAGGATCAAAAGTCAATTTCAGAACAGACTGCCCAAATGAGACAGTTTCTTCATGTGCCACTAACTTTAGACCTTCGGAACCAAAGCTCTGTGGAAATCAACACAGGGAGAAAGACAGCTTATGGAACAGGATCGTCAAACTAGAGAACAAAGGAAAGGCTGAAGGTATAGGTGCAGGTAAAAAAACATTCTATATTCTTAAAATGAGTAACCTGTACAGGTTAAGGATGATTAATTTAATGGCTTTTACAGTTTAACGGTCTCAGTTCCATCCCTACTGAGGCAAAATAATTATTTTGAATGTACTTTACTGTTGTCTCTTAAGGCCGTATCACAACAGATTTTAAGAATACCACTTTGAAGTGATTACTGTATTGAAATCCAGAATAATTATGCACTATTAAATATAAATTAAATGTATTAAGAAAACTTAAGCATTTTAAGGACAGTTGCTTCAAAATGCTCAAACCTGAAAAAACTAAAATTGAGGAGTATTAATAATTACAGTAATTACAATAATTACTACCACAAACGAGAAAGAATACTCCTTACTGAGCTGTCTTCATACAAATCCTGTTCTCTTACTATTTTCCAGGAGCAGCCTATTAAGATTAAATCTATTTTTGAGGCCTCCAATCTGTCTGACTTATTTTTAAACTACTGAGCTACAATAATAATGAAACCTATTTGTGTCCCTTCATTCACAATATCTTTTTTAAAAAATATTTTTTTCTTTTTCCTGGTAATTTTGCAGAGCAGGTATTTAAAAACAAGATGCTGTGCACTGAGCCCCAAACAGGCAGAGCACAGAATGAATCTGCTGCGATATGCTGTAATACAGCAGAAGATGCTGTGTATAAACCTGACTGTTGAATAATTCAGACACGATTTCAGCTCCAGGCTCACTTGCCTTCAGGGAATGACACTGGGAATCTCTCTCATCCTCGGACTCATCATCCGAATCCGCAAGGTCTTCAGCATCCTGCCACTCGACATTATTCCCCTTGTGGAAGCGCAGACGGGTGCCTGCGTGTGACAAGACAACAGGCAGCTGCATAGTCTTTCTCAGGGCTTGAGCACTCAGCGCAGGGGCTGGTTCCCATCAAGCCACTTTACAGCATTTGTACTGCTTCTCAGCACAAGTAAAATTAACATAAAAGTAGAGTGCATTAAAAGGCCCAGAATGTGATCCACTGAAAAGCTTATGGAATTCCCTAGCCTTTGCAAAACATCTGCATTCCACACAAATAATACTCTTCATGAAAACAGGATAGACACTTTTGAACTGTTAAAACAATGATGGAAATGATTTAACTCGGTCAGTTTGCTACACTGCAAAGTTTGTTCCTCCAGTGAAGACACAAGTAACAATTGTTCAATCTTACACTGTAATACTACTCATTCTACACAAGGGGGAGCTGGGAGATTACACATGCCATTCTAAAAATGGCTGAAGCAGAGAACAAGATGTATTAAAAAAAGAGAAACTACTTTTAATGACTACCCATAGTCACATAATGTTAGCTCAATTTTAATATGCAATAACACACATGATGTGGAGGGTTAAAGCACTGCAACCCTTCTGTTTCATTTCTGACACTCGATAAGCATTTAAGTCCCTCGGCATAAAATAACATCTTTGAAAAGCGACTGGTCCCCATCAATGTATGATGCTCACTGTCTCACTCCAGAAAGGGGGAAAACAAAAATATGGCTAACAAGTAGGATGCACTCACGCAAGGTTTTACTGGGCTGTATAAAATGTGGGATTTTGTAGTTAGAGAGTCTTCTACTGGACCATGCAACTGCTTTTCCTCCTTCGATCTCCACAAACTTTAATTGTAGACTGACTACACTCAGAAACTGAAGAAAATGGTAAGCAGATCTACTCTATGAACTCCCACACCCAAGACCTCACCTCTCAAAGAGGTTTTTACCTTTCAAAAAGCAATGCCATGCTGTTGAAGGCCATGAATGAGACCATCCTAGGTCGTCATCATCAGAAAGCGAAGACATGCAGAAAATACCAGATTCCGATTCGCTGCTCGCCTGCAGTAAAGAAACAAAAAGGGTTTAGACCCACAGAGTGACGTCACAACTGAGTGAAGGACTCTTTGGATAAGGGCACCTGATTAATTAAAAACAATGATAAAAGATTTCCTTTTTATAGAAATGGATATATTCATAGCCTGACTATTTTCTTGAGTTATGATGGAAGTGTACAGATAAACTATTAAAGCACACACATGCAAAAATACACCATGTGTCTAGAAACCTGTATTTAATTACCTTAAACAACAGCGGGACACCCCCAAAGCCAGAATTAGGGTGCCGCAGTCAGAATAATCAACAGTAAAGAAAACTCTGCACCCTCTCTTTACCCGTTCATGTTTAACTGCGGCTCGCTCCTTCCAGTGGGTCTTCGACAAGCTCGGCTCGCTGCTTGAAGAGGCTGGTGGCGGACGGGCGTAGGAATGTAAACTGTTGCTGGTGGCTATTATATGGACAGGAGATGATCTGCGCACACACATACGAAGCAAAATCAGTTAAAATGCAGCCTTAAGAAAAGCTGCAATAAAAGAACATTCACAGGTGTCAACACCTCTTAATCACTGCATGTTACATACAAAAAATCTGATAGTGATGTATTTTTGTACAGTCTGATTAGAGAAGTTCACGTAGCTGTGTCAGCATGTGTAGGCTGCAAAGGAACAAGTAGAGTTTTATTCTGTGCTGAAAAGAAAAGAAACAACTTCCCAGCTGTGGAGCCTTCTTCGGCCTTCACACCTGAAGAAGGCTCCACAGTCAAGAGTTGTTTCTTTTTCTTCTTTTCAGCACGACATAAACCTTTACTTGTTTCTTTGCAGTCTGTTTAAAATTATTAAACCGGTCTTGATTTAATATTTTATCTCATGTATACCGAGTTCAAAGTGCTTAAAAACAGTTGCAATTTCCAGCTGAGCTGTGAGGTTATCTGTAGTGTCCCGCTATGTGTTTGGCTCCCTAGTTTTCCAAGTATCCCGTATCCTATGTGCCCCCGCCACGTGCCTGTTGTAGAACGTGCACTGCATGAGGGGGCTCTGGGGACTGGTGGCGATGTTGGCCAGCTCTGCCAGCCAGCTGGTGCCGTGTTCTGGGGAGACCCCGCCGGCTGGGGGGCAGGAGGGGCGCGGGCCCCAGATATTCCGGGGGCGCTCCTGGTGCGACACGCCGGTGGTCAGCTGGAACACCGCCGGGGAGGCCCGGTCTTCCTGCACGGCCTGCAACTCTGGAAGATCATCTGGAAAAGACAGCACAGAGGCACTGTCACGAACACCGTCTTCCCTGGGGCAGAGGCAGAGCAGTGACTGCTACTCAAGATGGCGGCTTCTGCCACATTTCACTGGGAAAATATGAGCTTTAATAGCCAAACACCAACACCACCAACTGTTTTTTTCTATTCTCGTCTGTTTCACTTTGATTACCATACTCCATGCGATTCTCACTGGAAGGGCATCCGGGAGAAGATGGCAGGTCTTCAGTACACTTCAGCATCTCAAAGGTGTCGTCCATTCGCGACGCACTCTCTTCCACCAATACCTGCACTTTCTGCACACTGTCGGGCATCAACTTGGTCTTCACTTCCCATACCATGTTAGACCAATTCGCTTGACCTGACTGGAGGAACACACACAAAAGCTTGCTTCTCAGTCAGGCAAATTCAGGAGCTATTTTATTTTCACCACAATTTTTATTTCATTAAAAGTGCCTTCTCACAGACTCCTCGCACTTCACAAAGTTAGGTTTTTGTTTGTACAAACTGAATCCAACTACGGTCAATTTATAAATCACTTATTACCCAGGAAGCAACAGGGATAGAAAGTCCTGAATTTATTTTACGAAGTAAAGCAAATATATGACAATAACTAAATACATGAACAAAGGAGACTCCGATTCTAAGTATCCACAGATAATGAAAAGACAATAACTGGCTCACATGGCGGGGATAAATTATTTTTATGTCACCGCGCTGGTTTTCAATGTTTTTTTTTTTTTCATTTTAAAGTAAAAACCTGCGTGCATCAAGATCGAGACGATCATAAATGAAGTGGAATTCCTTTATGCCGAGAAGCGACACCACAACTACAAAGAAAGTTGGTTCAGAGAGCGTAAAAATTCCGTGTTGCCAAAAATGTGTTACTTCAACACATGCAAAAAACATTTTTCGTACAAGTCTTTATTTTAAAAAGGAAAAGTAACTCAATTTCCTGAAAACGCCCTATTAACACCGTATGCTTACTTGCATTCCGGATACTTCTAGTGCAGCTACGGTATATTTCTAAAACGCTGCTAATTGCCAGTGATGAATTAATCCCATTGTCTGCGAACTTCTCTCTCGGCTCCTTCAAGCCGTCATGTGACTTCTTGCATGCACAAGCCTTGTTTATAAACTTTGGGACTTGACGCATGCGCTTCAGAGCCCATTCATTCACAACTGCGTAACAAGAAGTGATCAATAACACAAGAGGATTAGTCTAAAGGGATTAGTTATTAATAGGTGTCCCTCTGTCAAATTTATGTGTAATCGCTTTTTCAGATTTCAAAAGTTGATTAATTTAAAGGGACCGTTAATGTAATTTTAGAGCCGCAGCTAAGTTTACCATAAACGACAAACTGCGTTTAAAAGGCACTGATACGCAAAGGTTTAAATCGTCAACTTGATTAAATACAATCACATAATTTTGCAGGTCTTCGTGCGTTTGTTGGTATTTTACGACTTCCTTTAATTGCACTTTCCTTTTTTTTTTGTTTCTTTTCGAAAATCCAACAACGAAAACAACAACTGGACGAGTTTTCTTTGACGAGTTGCCTGTGACTTACCTAACATTAACAAAAGAAACCAGAACTATCATTTACAACGGTTTCACAATGGGGAGAAGGGGGAAAAACAAGAAAAAATGTTGTCGAAGTATGTCAACAAGTTAAGACATGGTGATCGTCGACCTGTCAAGATGGTGAAATGAATGAAGTCGAAACGTCACTGACGGACAGAGACCAAGTCCAGCGATAAACCAAAACAAAACTATTACAAAAACAACAAACGTCACAATGAAATATCCCATTCCCAGCGAAGTGTCACTCTCGATTGATGCGCGCAATATCATTTTCTCATCTTATTCTACTCCCGCCGACAGCTCAGAGTCAAAACAATTTCTTATTTGATAACAATTTTCAACCTTTTGTTTCTTAAACGAAAGTTTCATACTTACCAAACCCGTCGCCATTACCGAGTATCTCTGGCAGTCTGCGAAGGGGAGGGAATGATTACTTTTAGACTCGAAACCCTACTGGTCAACCAAAGGATCAATATATGCAGGTTTTATTTCTAATTGGCTGGTTTAGTGGTAAATGTAGAAGTGAGTCTGTTTTGTTCAGAAATAGGCCATGCATTGGCTTCGAACAACGCCATTCATCTAGGTACTGCATTCATTGGGCAGACAGCTTGCTCCTCCTGCTCTGTACATGTAGTTTTTGTTGTTACATATTTCAGAGCACTGGTATTTGACTGCAATTCACACAGCTCCGTCAGCGCACACGTAAACAATAAAATGACAAACTTGAATCTTTTCATACATTTTCTTGATCATCCGAAATGTTTTTTTTTATTTTATTTTTAAATCAAGTGGTAAACTGCGTTTAGAGAAATTGGGTCAATCTTAAGGAAAAACAATTGAGGGTGTTCGCTACGGACGATCTGGTACGTAGTCCTTCAGGACTAGAGTAAACAGTAGTATTCTAGTCTTGCCTGCAACAAATCCTTTCTTCAATACCGAGGCCGTTAGGCCGCAGTACTAAAATTTTCCCAATTACAGTACTAAATTGTTTCCAAGTGGTCACAGCTGCAGAGGTTCTTGATACAAAAGAGTAAGTTAAACCATCAAACACTAAGACTGAAGACTTACCTACTGTACTAACTGCAGCGAAGCAAATTAGAACCAACGTCATACGGTTCCTTGTGGTATTACAATAACGCCTCATGAGCTAAGGTTTTACATTGTACAAGCGTGCAAAATACAAAGTATTATGTAGATCTGTATTCTCTTAAACGTGTTTGTATCTTAGCTGTGTATTTTTGCAGTGGTTAGATTATAACACTGGTGAATTGTTACCAGTCTCATTGATATTGCATATTTGCATTACATGAAGAGATACTGGTCTGTACACATGTAAGGTTTCGTCATCACCAAAATTCTCTAATCATTTTTACTGTTGAAAATAAACCTTGAGAGTTTCAATGTTGTGTTCCTTCTTTCATTAGCAAACACAGTTGCTTACTCAAGTTAAACAACCTTGAACTTCGGGTCTTCTTCTTCTTCTTCTTCTTCTTCTTTTTCACAGCCTTAGTCCCAGACTGTCCTGGGGTCAGCTGCTTTGGTTGCTCTTCTCCACTTGTCTCTGACGAGCACATCTTCCTCACTCACTTCACATACCTCCATATCTTTTCTCACACAATCTATCCATCTCTTTCTAGGCCTGCCTCTTCTGTTACCTTCCACCTCAAATTCCATTACTCTCTTTGTACTTCCTCAACGTCCCTCCTCATGATATGTCCATACCACCGTAACCTCGCCTCTCGCATCTTCTCAACCACATCCACCACCCTACATCGTCTACGGATTTCTTCATTTCTGATCTTTTCCCTCATTGAAATCTGTAGAATCCATCTCAACATCCTCATTTCAGTTTTTCTCATCAAGTTCTGTTCCCTCTTTCCAACTGCCGAGCATTCAGCTCCATATAGTAGTACAGGTCTAATCACAGTCTTGTACATTTTGCACTTTAACCTTCTAGGAATTTTACTGTCACAGATTATTCCAGTTATTTCTCTCCACTTGTTCCATCCAGCTTTCACTCTTTGTTTTACTGCCTCCAGTGTTTCTCCTCCCTTTACCAGTTTTGATCCAATCCTTTATAATAAAAAATTACATAGACAGTCCCCAAAACATGATCGCTAAACTCTTTTAATTTATTTGTTAAAAACTGTCACTTTTGACTTTCTATAATAATGTTATTAGAATTTTTTTACCGAAATGTGCATATTCTCCTTATTGTATGTATCTCCATTAAACGCAGTACACAGAATATTGCTTTTACCCGATGTTCCAAGGAGAAGTCATATATCAGTCCTAGTGTTGTCACTGTCAATGACTTCTTCAGTGGGACCAATTTAAGATAGGAAATGTGATGCTAAATTGTATAACAGTCTCAGTTTTTGTTTTTTCAGAATATTTATAAACACAGGCATATACATAAAGCATAATCAGTAATCCCAGAAATTGTTATTTTTCCATTTACAAATGGCAAATTTCAATCCATCACAAAATAATTGCAGGAGTGAGCCAATTTGAAATCTCTTGTGGAGCTTGTAAACAACTCACAAACTCAAAATGTATTACATTTTGCTCAGTTAATACTAGGCTTCGACCATTCATCTCCAAATTTAAAAACCTTGCCATTGTACACTTTCTAAAATGCACACAACAAAGCTGAGACAGAACACAAGTTGCTGTTGATGTGACAGTAGAGAAAGAAAAATTACAAAAGCTTGTATTAGCAAATGACCATTACACCAAAAGTACTTTGTGCTCCCCATAATAACATTAGGACAAGAAACAGATTTTTTTTAATACAAAACTGTAATTTATTGTAATGAAAATTCAAATATAACCAACAATATAATACTGAAAATATTCTGGCATTGAAAGTCTGCAGCTTTACGAACTGTGTTACATTAAAAGAACTGCACTGTCAACACTAAGCTGATGCAAAAAGAAAGAAAAAGTTATTACTGAATTCCATACAGATACATGGATGCACAGTTTTGTTAAACATTTAAGTTGGTGAGTGTTTCACACACTGAAGTTAAAAAAATATGCAATTTAAATACATAGCATGAAACAAGAAAAATACTGATGCGCACAACAATAGAGAGTATATATACTTTTAAGAGAGTTGGTCAAATATCAGTTTCATAGTGAATCAAAAAGTAATGCAGTACCTTCCAGAAGCAAAATGTAAGATGTTGGTACCAAATCAGAGGTGTATGATATTCAAAATATCACAATACCCACAAATAATTATTTTCTCCTTTACCGTTTCATGTTGACGTTCACCTGTAAAATCTATTAATAACCAGGATTTGTGCTCTGAAGGAGCAGTTTTAAAATGAACTGTCCTGAAAATTATGTTCTATTATATCTGAATAAATTTAGAATGTATAATGGAAAAAAAAATGTTAATTGTTGCGAAGACGTGCTGTACGCTGACAGTCTATTAAAAACAGAACATGTTATTATTGGAACCAACAGCATTTTTAAAATTCATATGCATTTGTACATATTATTGGGAAATAGTTATGGAATAAGAAAAGACTGGATCTGAAATACAAACAAGCCTTTCCAAATCACTACTTTGAACAGCATCATGGTACACAGTACATTATGTTGATTTAGTAAAATGAGAATGGCTGCCACACAAGCAAAATACCCACATAATGACTAGAAATATATGGACTAGGTAGTGTAGTGATATATTGTAGTGTGGTGAAAGCACTATGACTTTTTTGGGCCCTTGGGAGGAAATATACAAAAATAGTCTTTGGTCATGGAGGCCACTCCCAAGCAACAGATTCCAGTCCAACTTTATTTTTCAACAAAGCTGTCTGCAAGACACAATGTATTGAGATTTTGTATTACCGATAAGGGAAACAGTCAAGGCAGATAGCCCAAATTTACAGAGCCAATGCTATGTACATTTACTCAGGGTATTTTTCTCCTCATGACAGAAGACAACCCAGTACATATTTTACTCTAGATTAATTCTGTTGTAAGGGTGTTATCACTTTTGAAACATAGAAATATACATTAGTGTAAAGTGGTGTGCACGTTTAGTGGCTGAAAACCTTTGCTCACATACTTGGAGGAAAGGCTGGAATAAAAAACAGAATTCAACTTGTCAGTTATAGACAATTTCTGGAGGTTTGTGCTTTCTGCTTTGACCATTTCTCCCATCAACAGCAGTAGTACTGTAGTCCTTGATAGTGTATTGCATAAAGTCACCACCTACTGTATATAGTCCCTATTTCGATCCATAACTTTCAGAGTGCACGCATGACAGCAAGTCACAGTGTATTACCACTATAACTGTATTAAGATTCTATAAGATTCTATGTCATTAATTAAATTTCATATTTCATATCATATTTATTTTTTGCTTTCAGTATTTCCAATGCTGCATGCTTATATTATAATACATACACTGTATATCAGTTGTTCTCCATTGGAATTTGTCAACTCTATAAATTCTGACATTAAAGTACAGTATAAAGCATAACTTCTAGCAGCCTAAAACATAACGGGAAATTTATAATGTATTACTTGCGAAACTGGTCTTAATGAGATTAATCTGGATTTGAAGTTTTAAGTATAAAGACATTATATTAATTACCAGTTTTTCTTTCATGCTGCCCTTTTATGCATCTGAAAAACACAATTATTATGCACTAGATTGAGAATGATATATTTCAAATCAAGACTTTGAAGCAAATTAAGTACTTTTTATCCATATAATGGATTATGTACTGTGTTTTTAGATAAAAAATACATATTTATTAATTTTTATATTAACCAAATTCATAATTCTATACATATTTGAGCTCTGAAAAAATACATCAGTGAGTTTTCCTTTCTTCACTTAGAAATGTAGGTATTTTTGACTTGAGACACTGATCATTTTTTGTTTTACTTCTACAATAGGTAATACAGTACTTTAAGAGCACATATAAATTATCTGCCAGGTGTGATCCTAAACTGAGAAGTGATTTTAATTTCCATTAAAATGTCTGGTTTAATTTTCTTACAAGAAACTCTGATAATGTTTCTTTTTCCGTTCTGTTTTATTTATATTAAATGTACCCACTTAAAAACTTTAGAAATATGATACAGCAATGACGTGATAACAATTCAAACAAGTATGTTTAATATTAGGTAGATGAATACAGGAATGCTGTTGGTTAAAGATTATTTTCTAAGGTATTGAAGAGGGTGGAAACAAAACCTATAGTGTCCATGGAAAAGGCCCAACTAAAAAACTAAAATTGAAAGAACAACATAACATCAGATTTCCAATATCTTTTACACAGTCCCAGCTGACTTTTCTTTACTTTTACTGTTGACTGTTGATTCTTTACTGTTGACTGTAAAACCAGTAGCATGTTAAGAGTAGTAAATTGCTGTTATCTTTTAAAAAGTTCCTAACAGGTTATTTGCTTTCAATTTTTAGATGGGACCTATATATTAATTATATCAAGGTTTATAATTGAGCAAAACCTATCAAATTTCAATTAAATTAAAACATATTTTGAATTCATTAATTTTCTAAAACAACAATACAGCAATCATAAAAGCTAGTATAAACCTGAATGTTTAAAATTAACATTAACCACATGTATCATTTTAACTGCAGTACCATTCATCATTTTCTGTTAATTAAGTTGTTCATTTTCTTCAAAATGAATTAGAAATTATAAAAAAAAAACATACATCAAAAGACTTTGTTTAAAACAGCACAAAAATAACTGGAGAATGCAAGAGTCATAAAATGCCAGCAACAGTGAACTAGATTTGATTTTTTTCCCTAAAAAATCATTTTTTATATAACCTACAGTACTCTTTAACCCTATATTTCTGTGACTAGATAGAATGTAAGTAAAACATTTCTCTAGTTTACCGTTTACCAAATAATCATTACATGTGCACTTAACTTGAATGCCAATTTAAAATGAATTAATTGTAGGTAACTGAAAGAATGAAACAATGAAAATAGGTGAATTTTCAGGAAAGCAAAAATAAAAATTAAAGACTCAGACTGCAATGTTAAGATACAATCAAATACGTATAATAAAAGCAAATGATACTGTAGATCTGGAATAAAGGATAAGAGGCTTAAGACCCAGAAAAAAGGCATTCCCTCATAAGTCCTGGAAGTATAACAACATGTTTTTCAAAATAACATCTAGATTGCCATTGTTTAGTGTTTCGCATTTCTTAGAGTAAAATAATAAAAAATAGAAGTCAGTGAAATGCTTGGCATCTACACAAAGTTGACAGTTTTCTTGAACCAGCTTTGTTTTTCATCCCATAAGATGCACGTTAGTTCTTTTTGCTTCGTTTTCATGCGCTAGGATCAGCAATGTCCATATTACTTCCAAACATGGCAACAAGCTGCTCTTCATAGTTTGCGATGTTCCTTTTCATAATTTCCATACAGGGACCCAACAATCTTTCAAATGCCTGAACATCCATAACTGTTCAAAACAACAAAAAAAGTTTCAAGTTCTCCACCAATGCCCCACAAAAACTTCACATAATGCAAATAAAGCACTGAGTTACACATAAGCAAACATGAGAGCAATGTACCTTCAATCAATAAACATGCAATAAACCATAAGTAAAAAGCAATTACTACTAGGTCAATGATGTTGTAATAACGCTCTATTACTTATGGATGGAATTTGCAATACGTTACCTGAAGTGTTTAAGATTTTAAGAAATATATTTTTTGTTATAAGGCAGTAATTCAATTTGCATTCTTCACATTTTGTGATTGAATCTATAGGAAGTTGTCTATTTTTTCCGAATCGCCCATTGTTTATTTTTTCTTCTAAACCCACTCAAATTAGAATCACAAATTGTGGCTTTGCATGTAGGCTTACAACAAAGGGAGCACGATGAAGTGCAGACTGGCTCCTACATCCTGCCCACCTGTTGAGCTAGAAGATCGATGGATGTTCAGGAGGTTCAGTGCTAACTGGAGGAAGGATGCATTCCTCACTGACTTTACTGCAAACCTGCAGACACCCACAAAATCACAAGGGGCTGTTACTTCCCCAGGATCCGAGAGATCCCTAGCCAAGTGATTCCAACCCTAGCCCCAAGGCGCACAATTCCAATTGGGCAATCCTATCACAATCTATGAGCACATGAGCACCAGTCTCGTTTTATGTAACCAGTGGGGTGGGTGTAAATTAATAAAAATGTTTTTTAGCAAAAATATAAAGAGATATAAATACCTAAACATTTGACATTTCCTACAGCATATGCTGAAGCAGCTCGTGGCTTGTTTGTTACCAGAGCCAGTTCTCCAAAGTACTGTCCTCTGCTGCACCGTGCTATTTCCACTTCTCCACTTTCATCCACACCTGTTTTAGACTTGAAATAACAAAAAAAATGTAACCTGACAGAACCTGCATCAGAAAATACCACTGATTATTTCAAATTTGGAAAGATAATGTTACAACTTTCGAATTGTGTAATGTTTTGGACACGGTTTAAACCAATGACAGTATCATTAAAATGTACCTTGCTCCTTCTCATTGTTATTCTTACTTCACCAGATTCCACTATGTAAAAACAATCAGCTGAATCTCCCTGTAAAATAGAAAATATGTCATAGCCAGACTAAAACATTAAATGTAAAATATATTGGACACATTTAATCAGGGCATTTATGTAATAAAATTGTTACGGGGCCAAGCAATATAACAAAATGTGGAGCATTATACACATTATACACGAGGCCTGAGCATCAGTCATACCACAAGATGGCGGATTTTATGTTTCCAATTAAAAATACAGCAAAGCCCCAATATCTGCAAGTTCTACATTCTCAATTTCACAATTAGCATAACATTTTTAGTGGTGACCACTTTTTCTGCATCCCCAAACCAAAATCAACAATTTGCGGAATGCCTAGTAGGAAAGTTAATGGAGGCACCCACTTGCATATCTTCATGCCGGAGATCTTTAGAGTAAAGGCATATCTTGGTTAACAAAGAGTAAACAAGGTTATGTAGCATGGCATGATTGCTTGATCTTTAGTTATTCAGTTCCCTTCAGGAAAGCATTAGACGTGCATTGTATGCAGACCTTTGAGCAGAGTAATGTCTGCATGAGTGTAGTACATTCTAATCTCACACACTTCCACTTGCCTACAGTGCCTATATAAGTCTCGCACCAGGACTTCCCTTCATGCACCTCTCTGGCGCCTCCTCATCAGCATCCTTGCAGCAAACTCTCTATCTTACACCTTGCAATAGTGAAGAAGATTTTGGCAGCCTATCCAGTCTCAGATAGGCTGTCATTTCCTTAGCTAGTCGAGTCACCCCAAATACATCATATATATTCCTCTCTCTCTCATACCCATTAGGATCAAGCCGAAGTACTGACACAAAAGTAGTGTTAAATAACACAAACGTGGTCCCCCTAAGTTATCACCGTCTCAGTTCTCAAGTACCTCATGAAAAAGGATAAAAAAGGAATTAGAAGAAAGGAACTGGCAAACAGCAGGAGCAGGAGAGTGAGTTGCTGAGTGGGAAGGGAGTGGCTACTGCTGCCTCTCCATCCACACCTCCACCTCACCCACCAGCCGATAAAACTCACTCTTATGTCCAGCAAATGACGTCTCTATTTTTGCAGCTTGTGCAATGCTGTACACTTAAATTACTTTTTTGTCTGTAATTACCGCCCCCTAATAATCTTTATTACAGCACAGTTGTGCTGAATTTACGATACAAATTAAAAATGGGAGAAATATAGAAAATGCACTTTGGTAATAATGAAAAAACAATCTCTAATTCAGAGTAAGCTATAATATAACAATGAACAAACCAGGACTGCTTATTGATCTGAAGTATTTGAATGTGGAGATGTGAATGTAAGTCTTCAGATGGTTCTTCAAGTACAAAAACAATCTAAGATACACAGGCATGTGGTAGCCTAAGGCCCTGATTACACAAGGTATCCTGCTAGCCATCATTATCACTTGTAGCAAAAGCCCACACAGACTGCTCATCATAACACCTCTTGAAACCCACTGTTAATGCTCTTATAATCACATGTCAACTCAATCAACAGAAATGACACCAATCCTATTCCAAGAGACAATATCCAGTCAGCACACTGAGAAGTTTCATAAGGTTATGAGCACTGGTAAATTTAATGATTAAAAACACCTGTTGCCAATCAATTAAATGTTGGCAGTGAATAATAAAAGAAAAAATCAATGTATTATTACCCTTTAATATGATGATGTTTATGATAATGTTTACCTTTTAAAAATTGTATATTTTTATTGCCTATTATTAATCATGACTTGCTAATATAATGATAAAAAGTAGAAATGGCGAGAAGCTATTTCTCCAATGCATCATGATTTATATTTTCAGATGACGTAATTCTCAAAATATGAGTAGATATTGATAAGCTTAACAGCAATTTGTATTGACTGTGAGTTGTCAGTTTTCACATGTCATAAATGGTGAAATGTCCTGCAATAACATTAGAGACAACAGATTATATATGCTATGATTTATGTTGCCAGCAGACTGACATTGTGTAAAAGGAAGGACTAGTATTCACATTTCTCATTCCCTGTGGGTACAGGTCTATCCTAACTGCGCAACTCCTTTGCCTGTTGTCAGACCCATATACAGCTTTGGATGAGGCTGAAACCCCATTCAACCGAGCCTTCTGATTGGTTCGACCAGAACAGGTGCTCATCCAAACACTGCTGATCTGTACGATCATGGGTTCTAGTATGGGTCACATCACTAACTGGTTGTGACTGGGATTCTCCAAGTGGCAGCACACAATTGGCTGAGCACTGTCGTAGATAGGGTGGGATTAGTTGGCAAGAGCTCATAGCAGCTACTGTGGCCTCCTGGGCTCTTGCTGACAGGCAGTGAAGGACATATCTGTCCTTCTACCAACAGTGAACCTGGCTGTGTTGCTTGTGACGTATTAAAAGATTAATATCTTAAAGCTGGGTAGGTTAGAGAAATCTGTTTAAACGTCCTTATTACATTCTGCTTCTTATCAAAGGGTTCATAGCTATGACAATCACAAAATTGTCTAAAACAAGTCATATGTATATCACAGCTAATAATCGGCAAATTCTATATTTTTAAGAAAAGTGTCTCATTTTAGCACTTAAAGACATTATAGAGCATCTTGTCTTATATCATTCCTGTTATTACCAGCTGTAGTCTAAGCAATCGAAAAATTTACTGAAAGCTTCTGAACGTTGCTAAGTATTATGATTTATATCAAATACAAAGCAACATATCAACTGACGTCCACAAGAGTTTGAAAGAATGTGTGACAGTCTCATATCGAAATAACCTTTCACAATCTTTCACATGATTTACACCCAGCAGCACCTTTAAACCGGCACTTCTGTATAATTTCATGCAGTCCTGCCTTTGGATGACAATCTAAAAGTTAGTTACGCAGTCTCCCATAAAGTCTGAGTGTTTAAATGCAGATATCCTAGAGATATGTACCTATGGTTTTGCAATCATCACAAAGAATGAAAGAGTGTAAGTGTACTAACTGTAAATATAGGAATGTATACACTGCATAAAAATTAATAAAGCTTGTAACCGAAAGTAAACCACTACATTTGTGAAATGTAACATTTTGTATGAACAATATATCAAAATGCACAAAGTAAGCTGTTTATAATAATTAAAATGAGAAAATCAAACATAAATAATACATGGCAAAACAAGAGTACTGATTAAAATGTTCACATAATACATAAAACAAGAATATAAATAAATAACACATATATCAACCTGAGCAATGATCTGTTCTCCATCTTTGTACACTTTAGATCCTATTACGTCCACAACTTTCATTCTTTCTGAGGGCTGAATGGGGAAAAAAAGAAGACAATTAACTCCAGCATGACAGCAACACAAAGCTTTTCAGCAGACTTCTGAAAAAAGAATTAAGAAAGGAAACAAGTACTAACTTCAAGTGATGTCAGCAATGGAAGTGTCTCAATGAATGACTCGTACATTTTCCTCTTTTTGGCATTGTTTTTCACAATGATTCTCCGGAACATTATTCTGTCCTGCAATATTTTATTAAAAATTAAGTTAAATAATCATGTTGGTATTTTGAAGCAAATATACTCAGTATTTTTTTAATTAATTCAAATATTAAAATCCATAATTAGCAACTGTATTACTAGCCAAATTTAAATATGATCACTCTTTTTGGGCAAATTTGTGAAAATTCACTTGATCCCTCCAAATTTCCCAAGTGCATGTTTCACAAACCTCTAAATATTTATTGTGTTTTGAATGGTAACTTGTATAGAGAATGCCATACTCATATAAATATAAAGATTAGTCGCATGTTCACACACAAAGAGAATCATCAGAATGATTTACCCAGAAATTTGCTCTCCCCAATATTTCCATCACAAAATAATGTAATAATTAATCACAAAAATGGCAGATAACAGCCTATATGATACATCAAACAAAACCTCAGCACATTTTTATTTGAAGGTTGTGTACATTTGTAATGCAGACATTTTACAGAGCACAAAACATGGGGATTTTTACGAATATACACTTGTCAATCATTCCAAGTATGTCCACTAGAGGGATCTCTATTCAAATGTAAATACATTTCTCTTTACACATGGTTTTGTTCTTGGACTGCTTAAGTGCCCCTTAAACATAAAGCATCAAAACTAATCAATATTTCAAGGTATTGGAAATATTTTACGGTCATGCTTGGTTGTATTTAATAATCAAAACAAGAACAACTTACCAAACCCCATAAAGCACCAGGTGAGGTAGCAATGATTGTAGCTGCTCTTGGGGTATTGTACATTAAGGCCAGCTCACCAAAACTCCCACGATTATCATAAGAACCGACACAACGATTGATGCCATCTACTTTTACATAGATGTCATATGTTCCTCTGTAAAAAAATAATGAAAAACATACTTTGGTCAACTGTATTTCATATGTCAGTAATGCTTATCAGTTTAAAAAAGTAAACGAAAAAATAGATGATTATAAAAAGCTCAGTTTATTTCAGTTGTATTGCTCATAAATGGTTAAAACATAAGTATATAAATATTAAGCGAATTTGATACAATTATGACAGCTGCTTAAAATCCACGACAAACATTATGCACAACTATTTCTAGCACACCCATATAATGAAAGAGTCATTGTTTTTTTACATAGATAAACAAAGATGTTAACCAAAGTAAAACCAAATTTCACAATTTCATAATCTACCTTCATCTTTTCATTCAACAAATGAGGAATAGGTTGAGCATAATTGTCCATCCATTCTACCGGGATTGCAAACCAATGTAGATTACTAATAACAATAAAATTCTGAGTATCCATAATAAAATTAAACCACTGCCATGGTTTCATGACACAATTATGTCTTTGATTGTGTAAACTAACGGTAGATATTACTAATAATCTAATGATCTCCAAAGCAAATGGTCATTTGGCATTTCAAAATTAGACAGATTTAAGTATTTCCACTCAATGTAATTTCTTCCTCATGTTAGTAGGCTTTAAGGAGAGCATTATTCTATGGTGATTGTACTAGATGGCAAGACTCGGACAACAACAAAAAACAATATTGATGCTGTCACTGAGACTTCTTAAACTATATGGTCAAAACACTAAATCCCTTTGCACCCACTAAACTTTTTTTTCCAGGAAATATGCTGCATTGTTAATAACAAATATACTAGAGTCCTACCTGTCAATGACATAGAAATTATCTCCATCATCATCCTGATCAATTACATGTTCACCAGTTTCCACAATCTTCTCAAACATGGCATCCAATACCTGAGACATCTGCTCCTAATGAGGAAAGAACAATAAAAACATAATAAATATATATCTATATAATGGAAATGGAGAAAAGTGAATTAAGAAATGATGTAATTACGTTACAGCTTTAGGTGACTGGGAAGTGTCTCTTAAGAGTTTAGATAAAGGTTGAGCAAAAACAATTGTAAAGATTACCTTGCTATACCCAGGTAATTAAGTCATGGGTTAATGATGGTCAAAAGCACCATATACAGTAAGAGCACAGTAAGAACAAAGAGAAAAAGAAGAGGATAAGAATATAGAGTTGGAACGTGAAGATTGCAGTAGGCAAAAGCCTCTATTTCATGATCAGCCAAACAAAATCTGACCGGAGCTACATTCTAAACCTTGCTAGAGAGAGGTTGCTCTTCAGTGTTTTTAGGCAACTTGGGTTTCCTGGTTAAAAGATACCTCAATTAGAGTCGTCTTTCCTGCTCAGGGTGCATTTTTAGAATAGGGAGGTAGGCTCCCATTTATTTTATGGCATCTGGGGTGCAGAGAGATGTCATTTGCATTTATTTAGAAAGGCAGCTTATGTCTTATTTGGCATTAAGAGTTTAATACTTAATAAAAGTCTGGGGGTTTTCTGGGTGATCAGGATGTTAGACCTCTGATACGCCTAGTTTGTACATTCTGTAAATGTAGTAACTTGTGTGTTGTATATTTCATTGTTTGTGGTGCAGTGTTTGTATTGCCATCATTAAGATTTGTTTAACCAAGTGTGCCTGGATTACTACTTTTTTCACCAATGCTGTACCAGAGAACAAAGAATTCATGTGCCTCTAATAATACCAACTGCTTGGGTTTATTCTGATGAATTCACTTACAAGTAGGGGCTTATGAATATTCATTTTACATATTGACTTAACCACTCTGTCAATTCCTGTTTTTCACCACTATTAGAGAACCTGCTGTACAGGATAATGTGTGCAAAAGTTTATATTAACATAAAATTGATTTGCTTGGAAAGCACATTTAGTGTATGTCACATAATTAGCAAAACAGGCATCTTATCTGAATTGTCTATGTTAAGGTCAGCAAAAGTTTCTGTTTAAGCTGTTCTGTATATAAGGCTCACAAAAAGCCACTGTGTGTCACTTAATAATACAATAATAATTAATGTGTAATAACGATGGTGTTATCTCATTAGACACAAGGTCTCCCTTTATAGGCAGTGAGCGCAATCTACCAAATGAGACAATAAATACTGATATATTACTGTTTCCATTCTAACAGTGTTATTTTCATAGAATAATGACAACATTAATTACAAATATCAATAATGAAGATTTTTGTGATCAATTTATTTGATTGATTTTTGGGTTGACAGGTTTACAACATAGCAAAATAATAAAATTAAACATTTACTTCCATGTTCCTCTACCCCAACCTCAAAAAACCCCAAAAGTTCCATCAATGAGTGCTCTGTGAGAAAGATCATAACATCACTCTATAATATAGAGAGAATACTGAGAGAAACCAGTCTCATTGTTCTGTCCCTTACAATCAGTATGGCAATCAAATGAAAACGGAATGAAAGGGAAATTATATGGAAAAGGGAACTCTATTAGCATTCACTGTCAAACAAAGATATAGACAAACAAAGATCCATTAAGTTAAACCAAATATGTGATCACAGATCATAAAATTAGTTGTAGTCTTCAGTAATATCTGCCAAAGTGAGAACTTTCAGACAAAACCATAAAAAACAAGCTACAGGAACACTAATTTTAGTGTTCTTCCACCAATCTCCATACTGTTTTCAGATAGGAAACAATAGGTACAAGTCCAAGAGTAAATGTAGTAACCTGTAAGGGACGTTTTCTTCTAGAAAAAAACAACATCAGCATTGAACCAAACCATGACTGAACATGGTACAGGCGACCAAAAATATACTTTAAATAAAGTTCAGTAATGATAAACCACCCAAGAATTTCTCATATTACATTGTATGGGATTTGATATACCTGTGCTTCCACTTGCATACAATTTCTAAATTTCTACAATTTAGTCCAGTACAGAGGATCTCCATACAGAAAGAATGACAGAGAGTACTTTACATTCATATTTGTTATCAAATACAGAAGCTGCATTTTCTCCATTTAAGTTAGTTAGCACAGTGTTAAATAATGCTTTTTGTAAAGTAACTGATATCTTGTAGAAAAAAAAAACAGTTTTGCTGATGGGTGATAAATTTCCACAACACTGACTAGCCCAAGGTCTGATTAAATCTGTGCAGGGCAACAGATGTGGCATTGCGTTAGGAATCCCGCTGTGCACACAATCAATCACAAACTAGGTTAAATAGCATTCATATTGGTGCCAATAATTAGTCAGTAAATTAGTACAAAATTAATTGATCAGTAAACTAAACCAACTGAAGTTAAAATTTATAAGGACATTGACTGAGACATAACCTATTTTTTTATTGGCTAAATCTATTTTAGAATGTAATCTGCACATTTTCGTTGCTCCCAATAACCAAAACAGAGACCAGACGTTACAGAGCCCCCCTTTTTCTATTGTAAGCAATGAGCAAGAAGCAACACAATAATATTTTAGACCCTTGCAGTTTTCACATTTTAACAAAGCCTACAGGTATGACATTTTAAAGGAGCGATTAATATGTATTGTATACACAACCTACTAACACATTCAAAGCAAAAAACAAAAAGAAATAAGTAAACAATTAATATGAAGAGAAATGCAAAAGTCATGATTGCACAAGTGTTTAAATTGAGGTGCACACAATTACCTAAACAAGTCACACAATTGAGAGGCCTCTGTGTGCAATAACAGTGGGTCACATGATCAAGATTTAATACACCTATCTGTATGATCCCCCAGTCACATAGTGAATTTCAAGCAAAGTCAACCAAGAAGACTAAAGCGCTTTAAAAAACTCAGGGATAAAGCTGTAAAAAGACAAAGATCAGAAAAAGGGTATAAAATATTTGAAAGACACTTAATATCTCATTGAGCATGATGAAGTCAACAATATTCCAACCACTCCACAAAGTTGGCCTGCATGACAAAGAATTTGCAACAAAGCATTTATGTGATACTGCAAACATGTGGCAAAAGTTCTTGTGGTCAGACAATACAAAATTGGAACTTTTTTCCAATTTTCCAAAAGTCAAAAGTGTTATAGCTGACGCAAATGTGCAAAAGTGACATATACTGCACCATTCAGTTAACACCATCCCTACTGTCAAGCACAGTGGTGGCAGCATTATGTTAAACAGTAGTTCTGCTTCTCATCAGCAGGGACTGGGAAGCTTGTCAAGACTGATGAGAACATAGATGGAGCAAATTACTGACACATTTTAATGGAAAACTTGCTTCATACCTAAAAAACAAATCTACACTGGAGTGGCTTATGAATAAGAAATGTCCTTAAATTCCCCAAATTAAAGTAATGAATTAATCCTATTGAGAATATGTGGAAATAAAGAAAACTTCAGTCATAACAGATCCCCATGAAATATACAAAAAATAAAATTAAAATGCTAACTGTGATACGGGAAAACAGATAACGAATGTAAGAGATTACACAGGTACAGCACTTGTTCCTGAGGAGATACTAAAGATTGTTGTAAAATTGTAAACATTAAGAAACCTGTACAGTTATGGCCCTCAGCAGTTCTGTTCAATATGTTGCCACCCAAAACACTATCCCATAAGGCACAGCCTTCCTCAGTGAATCAAAACAACGTGCTGAAATCTACTGGAAAGGGACAGCATACATTAAAAGGGACAGTAAATTAGTAAAATACAACTTATTTTTCATCTTGTTTTAACCACAAAACACCTAATGGAAGTTTTAATCTTACCCACAACTAAACATTAGATTACACAGATATATCAAATTAAGATTACTGAATGCATACTTCACTTGTGTGACAGTTGCACAGCAATTTACTTTTCTTCAAGAACAAGGTTGTCATATATCCAACCCTCCTGGCAGGTCATGTTTCCCAGACCAGGAAGTTAAGACTTCCTTGGGGGACCCTAAATGAGAGTTTTCACCCCCATGTGACTGTGAGCACTCCAGGGTTGACCAAAAACATTCTCCAGTTCCTGCTGGCATAATCCTCTGACAGAGGAGAACGCCTTGCGTTTTGCCACTGTTGTCTGAGAACAATCCATAAAGAAACATAGGGATGACCACCCATTTCTTTTGGCTAAAGTTTCCAAGGTGCCCTATAAAATGTTCTATCAAATTATATAGGAAAGAAGCTTCAAATCAGCATGCAAAGTTTGTCAATGCACTAGAAGCGATCTTATAAAAGTAGTGAGGTGTCAATTTCAATAACAGATGACCAGGAAGGAAAGAATGTAGGGATCCAGTGAGTCAGTCATTTTAATTATAAATAGTGGTTACAGTAATATCTTCAAACCCCTCAATGTTGGCCAGCCAGCTGGGACAATGCAGAAATTATGTTTCAAAATATTTCAAATTATTTTAAAACACATTATGCTTACAATATGTTAATAGGCTAATAGTAATTAGGATAGTAGCTTCATCCACAAGAGGTTGTTTAGGCTTCTATTGTGTGTAAATTCACACATAGTATTGAATTTCTAATTTCTAAACACAATCTTCTATTGTGCGTAATAGGTTTACACATGGTGCGTTATTGATTAATTACAGAATTGGGAGAGGGCTGAGTCACATTCTCACATGGGTTTATTTTAGGCTAAATTAGGAATAAAGGGATTCACAAGGATATCTGATGATGGGATGGTAAGACAGGTCTTGGTTTCTAAAGTTTTGAAGATTGTGGCTCCTTGCACAGTATTTTTTCCAGTTTTTGTTCCATGTGTTCAGGCCTTAGAAGCCACTTGCTCTGAGGTAGGCCTGTCACAATGTGATAAAATTACATAATATGGAAGCATTTTCATTGTACATCAATACAATGAAAACACATGTAGCAACATTGTGATTGTCTGGTGCAAGCATATATCATTACAATAAATGTGTAAAAATTATTCTTCTAAATTAAATGAATATTTCTGTGGGAAAAGCATAATTATGAGGCTGACGTTTACACTTACGTACTATACAATGGTCTTCATTTTTTACATCTTGTTCTTTCAATGTATAATTATATGAAGACATAACCACTTTGGTTACCCAATTATATTACCTTCATGCTCACTATTAGTAAACATCTTACTATTTATCATTTAAAAGTTATTCTATAAATCAACACGAAACAAGCTGCATGTAACAAAATTCAGTTCTCATTCTTGCTCCTAGTAAATCATGGGTCAAAACATCAACTTTATCTTAGGAATGAGATTTTCCAACCCTATTTATAATCATTATATTATACAGGTAGCAGAACATTCACTACAACAAAAGTCTTGTTGCAGTAAGTTATGAAACATATTCACGACTAAGATAATGCCACACTATGCAATATAAATGCAGTGGAAACACTCATGGTTCCCACCAGCCAAAAGCACTCAGATATCATTTTATGGGACCCATTTTGAGAGATTCTAAGGGAGTAATAATGACTGCATCCCCCATAAAAATATTACAGGAGTCTATAGAGACATGGCTAGAAAGACAAGTTCTATTTTGGTGGCACTGCCAGTATAAAGAAGTGGGCCAAGTGTATTGAAGTGAAACAGATTATACAGAACAGTGATATGGTGACTTTGCACCTCAAAACATTTTAAATACCTTGTTCTTATAGGCTACTGATCAACACAGCAATGGATTTTAAATGCCACTAAGGGTTAAATTAAATTTGGAAAGAAAGAATGATTTTTATTAAGAAGATATAAAGTATGCTGTCAAAAAAATAAATAATTTATCTTAATTATTATTATATAGTACAATAGCCTATTCATACTAAGAAGCACTAAAAATGCAAGAAAATATTATTAATTCCAAATACTCATTTATTGTGTTTTTAATGTCTGTCAGTATGGTTAACGTGGTTCATTAAAGTTGGGATTCTCTTTAATCATCAAACAGTGATATTATTTTCAATGATTAAACCAAAGCATGCATGCACATATTTATCTTACCGGATCTAAGCTTTTGAATAGAAGGATATCTTTGCATGCCTCTTGTAGTCTTTGTCTTTGCTCATCTGATTTGGGATGAATTATCTAAAAACAAAATAAAAGTTAAGCAGCAATAAAGTATTATACTTTTTAATACTTAGAATTGAAGCATATTAATTATGGAATAGCAGAATAGGATATGAATACATTGTGGTCAATGGGAGGGCAGCTCAGCAAGGTTAGCAACAATTTACACTGGTTTGGATATTGTTTAGCTGTATTTATGTGTAGTTGTTTACTTGTATTTGCCTCCTATTTTTACTTGGAGGCAAGTACATACAGAGGACAACACAGATTATCAAAGAGAGTTCCTAAACACAGATAATCAAAGGGAGTTTTACTCAGGTTAATAACTTTACTGTAAATCATTTAGCCCACCATATTAAAGAGTAAACATCAAGCGACCATGCCATTCTTAGTGAATCCATTAAGACAGCCTCCATTGGAATGGACCATAGCATAAATACAGGGAAACAGATACAGAAAAGAGAAAACGAGGAAGAATACAGTGGAGGAAGAATACAGTGGAGAAAAAAGGACAGGAAGTGAAGAAAGCATATCCTCAAAGCTGAGGCATGGCAGAAATTCCTTTCCCAATCAGTCTTAGAACCACATTCTGTCCAGGTAAATAGAGCACTTTCAAGAATACTGAATGCTGACCTTTACTACAGGAGAGCTTGGAGGCTTATTTATGTTAGGAATTTCTCATTTTTTATATTATGGAATCCCTAGGCTAAAAACATCTCTTATTGTAGCGATCCACTGTTAGAATAGAAAAATTGGTTCCAATTCAGTTTGGGCGTTCATATTTTAGAGTGGGAGATATAGTCCTGGGTAATATACATTTTTATTAGAATGCAGAGTTTCACTCATTGGCCTGTGGAGTTTTTGTAGTGTAATTTTAATTAAGGTACAGACTTCTTCAGGATTCTGAAACATACTGTATGTACATAACTGCCTGTAAAGTATCTGCTGTATAGCTGTGGAAATTGTTTATAAATAGGGGTTTGTTTTGACTATGTTTGGGAGTGATTATTGATCTATTATCAGAGCTGCGTAGGAGAATAATAAGATACACTTGCTGCATAATGCTCAGTCATTTCCTGCCTTGTACTACTGTTATAATTGGTAGCCTTGCTGAAAGTCCGCTGCCCCGCCTAGTCACAATATTTTTAAAATGTATAAACAATACATAAACCCTAACTAATTATCTCTAGTTTGGATGTTTTTTAAAATCACTACTTAGTCACGTTTGGCATACACAATATTCTGTAATAAAAAATTCAAACACCTGTTCTACTCGGATATCAAGACCAGACTTCTTTTACCATCCACCCATGAATCCACTATCCATTGCTGCTTCATTGCAGTGTCCAACTATGACCCCTTTCACTCACCTTTAAATTCTATAGTTTTCTCTATAGTTATTCTCACATCTACATACATCTGCAATTGCTTCAAAAGCGTATGAAGGTGTCTGTTTTTGCGATATCTATTTTTTACTCCTAGCTAACTAATGCAGTGCAGGCTTCCTTCTGGCAATCTGACCCCTGAGTGTATTCCTTTTTTACGTCTGTTTGCTTTGACATTTTAAAATATAATTCAACTGGTTCTCCTCACTTTATGTCTCTGGATAAGTAATTTTGCTGCAGAACATTTGAAATTAAACCTGTCTTAAAAGATTTAAAAAAGTCTAAAGATAAACTTTTACCCAGTTGTCTGGAAATGTACTTACAACATGAGCTTTTCATTTGCAAGGTTAAAAAAAAATGAAAAGGATCACAAAACACTACAAAAGGTAGGACTGCCTGAACTCTATTCAACACATTTATTACTTCTGTTATTGAACATTTTCTTAAATGCTGTTTATTACAAACATATATGAAAATATATACATTTAAAGAACATTGATTAACATTCATATTTTTCTGTCCTTCTGGTTACTCTACATTGCCTCAGAATGATAGAGAGATTATCATGAACTTTAGCCTGAGTATTGTTTCTGAGAAATTATTAAATTTTATTAAGGTTATCAATGTTTTAATATATAAACTGCTGAATAATCCATAATGAAACCTCAGCGCATAACCTGCCTGTTTACCAGCATGTTATGAGAATGATACTAATTACTGTATATTTTACCCTGGGTTCTGTGTCTTCTTCCTCATCATCAGGGTTAAATGCTTCAGCACAGACTGAAAAGTAAAAATAATGGACAGAGTAATATTAAACTTATACAAAGAAAAAACACAATTTGTGTATCAGATATACACTGCAGTGTTAAACAACAAAGTGTCTTCTTGGAAGTTTATACTGGTAGTAAAGGAACAAGTCATAGGTTTATTCCATGCTGAAAAGAGAAGAAAGAAAACACAACGTTTTCGTCCGTGGAGCCTTCTTCAGGAGTGAGAGCATGGAATAAACCTATTACTTGTCCCTTTGCAGCCTACGCATGCTGACGCAACAACCCAACTGGTAAAGCACACTAAAGAGAAAATAGCAAAATCTTCTTTGAATTCTCACAAGGAAAGACATTAGTTGTTAAATTCTAACAGGTCTTAGTATTTTTCATGCTACCAGTTATATAATCTCAATACACCGCTTTGAAGTTTCCTCCTCACTTAAGGATTAACTCCTAGACATAAATATTTTGGCAGATAACTAATTATTATATATACTTCTCACATAGAGCTATTTATAGTATATTCTTCACATGACTATGTACTGTATTATAACATTTCTCTTATACATTTTTATACCTTTAGTACATTTTTTTTAAATGAGTATTTGGATAAATCACCATGGATTTAAGAATTTAATTTATATTTTCTTTTTAAGGGGTTACAGTAATTTTGTACTTTAAATTCCATCTTTATTAAACAATTTCTAGCACTTTGACTTTCATGAAAAATCATGAACCACTAACTCATGAACCACATATCCCAAAATTGTCTCAACTATGTTTCATTTTTCAAGAACACAGAGATAAAGAAAACCACAGTGAATTGAACATGGTACGAGTTACCCTTTGTTCAACATGATGTTAGTATTTTCCATCACAGTCTTTTTTTTATTCTGCTTTCTTTCTGTTATTTTTGTTTTATTCTTTCAAAAAAAAATACTGTACATTTTAGGGTAAAGTAATTGGAACATAGGAATCCCAGTGCTTTAAGCCTATATTTATCTGACCTCTAATCAGACAGAAACATGTTTTGGATCTCAGTAAATCACAGGTATTGCCATGGATTAGAAAGCCATGCACTTCTAAACTTTGGAATGCAGTGCTGGAGAAGGAGAAACTTGCAGGTTAGGACTACCTTGCCAGCTCCAAAATTAGAATCAGCTATGTTTATATGCATAAATAATGAAAAGCTGATTTTAATAATGAAATGTGGTAGGACGGATGTGAAAATACTCTACAGCCCCACCTTGCAGTACATACCGTTAAATATTGAATTGTGTTTATGTAAGGTTACAATCTCAGTTAAACGAAAAAAAACTCAGGGCTCACTGTATATGAGTACAGTATGTATATGAAATGTAGTTATATAAGAGTTATGAAACCAGGACGTTTGCCTGAAGGTATTAATATTATCAATTTGCACCACAGGTATGTTGCTTTCTTCCTTCTAGTGAAACATCCTTAGGACTGTTCTATTTTGACTCTGCTAGATTACTCTGCACCATTGCTAGTGTTTTGTCTGTATATTACAATGGTAATTATGCTATTACCTACCAGCAAAAGGTAGAAAATTAGATACAAGCAAGGTCTGCTGCAAAAAGTCTGCTGCAAAACAAGGTTGCTGGTTGCTGTCAACCAACAGCGATAAAAAATGACCTATGCAATATAAGAAGCATATTAACTCCAGATAGTTAACACATATCTACAAGAAACTATTGAGTCCACCATTCACTATTTTATATCAAGAATCTAGATTCTGGCATAGCTTGCAAAGTAGTGAAGTTTGTAGGACTTGGACAAAATTCAGAACACGGCAAACTGTTCAGGAAACATCCTGGCAGATGACATTTAAAGTACAGTAGACATCTGCAGGGTGTTGCATGCACATAGCAAAAAGATAAATCTAAATTACAAATAGAAACACTCCAAGCCTGAAGGAGATTCTTATGACAAAGACTTGGGTGTTTATGTGGACATATCATTTTATTTTCTTCCAGGCAATGTGGGTAAGTTATAAAATAGGCAAACAGAATTTTAGGATATACAGTATATATCCTATATAGGTATAAATCTAGATGAAAATACATTATGTTAACTTTTTGCAATGTTCTAGCAAGACATCATTTAGAATATCATGTACAATTTTGAGCAAGAAAGATGTTCTGAAAACAGTTCAGAGTTGAGCAACCAGACACATTACTGGCCTCAAAGCAATGGTCTCCATTGACAGACTAAAATAATTCGATCCTTACAGTGTGAAACATGGAAGACTACGAGAGGACCTGATTCAAGTACTCAAAATAATCAACCCAATGTTGAATCAACATTGAAACACAAACCAATGGTGAAACACAAACATTTAAACCATATGGAATATGGCATTTGAAATTGAACTGGAAACAGGAAAACAAGAGGTATTTCTTTACACAACAGGTTAGGGGAGTATGGAACAAACTAACCAGCCATGTTATTGAATATGATACCCTGGTTTCCTTCAAAAAATGCCTGGATGAGATCTTTTGATTTATTAAAAGGTTGCTTTTCATTAATTGTTTCATTCATTAATCTGGTTGCTCAAATGTGCAATGCTGCACATTGGTGGTGGTGGTGGAGAGTCCCCATTACCTGTAATGCGCTTTGAGTGGAGTGTCCAGAAAAGCGCTGTATAAGTGTAAGCAATTATTATTAGCTACTGAAAAAAACAAATGCACCGATAGGCAAAATGTAAATTTATAATGAATGTTACGCTCTAGGTCTAAATCAACCACATTGATATAAGGACAAACAACATGCTATGCTAAACCCAATATATATTTAAAATATTTTTCAAAGTCAATGTTTTCTTCTCATACAAAAAGCAATTGGAGTTTCAATTAGGCTTCTAGTGGAAGGTCTACAAATCCACCTTATTACAACTTGCAGAAGCCCTGCCAATCTCTTGTTTACTGACACATTTCCAACTACATTCAACTTACACAAGCATAAAACAAAAGTACAACAAATAAATTGAAAGCAAAGTTCTATTTGGTGGCTGATTCACAGATTGAGTTCTCCAGGTATTTCAGAACTGAAAGCATGACTTTAGCTCCTAGGAAATACAAGAGATACTGTACAGGATATGAAATGCCTTGTAGCTTAAGTATCTTGTTATTGTGATGAATGAATTTAGATACAATGGCACAAAAGAAAGCTTCAAAGAAAGGGAATTTTTGCTGATAATAGTGGTCCCAGATTTAGTGATCAAAGCAATCATAAACTTTACCTTGGTTTACCTAAGTTACCTTAGTCAGAGAGGGTAAATGAAGAGGAAATGGAAGATATCGAAGGCAAGAGCTCCTTATGCAGATCATATGGAAAGACCAGATTGGATTTAAGTATAGGAACCTTGTTAAGGCAGCTTGCTATTCTCTTGCTGTTAGGAACTTTGATTTTCTGGGTAAAGAATACTTCAGACAAAAACAGTCTTCCCTGGCTATTGCCTCAGGTTGTATCCTGTTTAGTTTAGAAGGCAGTGTTATTTAAGAGTCGAACACTTGGTAGCAGTCTGGTGTTTTTCCTTGTGGTTAGGAAGTTAGTTCTCTGGGATATTTTGTTTGTATGTATGCACTGTAAATAGTTTAAGTTGTGTGGGTTATGTTTATGTTGTGGATAGTTTATTGTGTGTATTGTCATTACTAATAAATAATTGTGTAACCAAGTGTGCCTGAATTATTACTCTTTTCACCAAAGCTGTGACAGAGGACAAAGAGCTCTAACTACACTAACTTCAAGTATATCATTGGCAAATTAATTTACAAGTTGGGGGTTATGACTATTTACGTATAGGTTACTCCACTCAGTATTTTCCTAATATTTCTCTATTTTCGTAACCCCCCATTTGAAACAATATTTATGTAAGTGTTTAGATGTAAATGTTTTCATGACATTCCATGACTTTGAACAAGACAAAGGACTTCAACCTGACATTTTACATATTCTGTACCAAATTGTTTATGTTGTGTATTATTTTGTGCATGGAATGTCATATTAATGCTCAAAAGGTAGATAAATCTGACTTTTCTAAACTGCCTTACTATTCTTTCATATTTACTCATATTACAACAATGGTCCTCTATTTCTTGGGGGCTATCTACTATATTAGGTTCACAGGATGCAACACAACTGGGGCTCGGCTATTCATTTAAAAGGCCTATCTATTCTCAGCAACTTACTTCCAGCTGTCAAAAAGATAATGGAACCTCAGGTGTTCAGGAAAACAAGGTCACAGGCCACGGGGTATAGGAACATCAGAGCACTTGTTTTTAAACCAACTGTGATGGTTCAAAAGTTTCATCTTATTTTTCACATTTGATTTTAAAAAATGTAATTGAATTATTGATATAGTTACTTCAAGATCTTTATAATATTTTGTTTAGGAGTTAATTAACATGTACTGCATCCATTTAAATAATTTGTAATGTTGATTTACAATACATTTATTAAATGCCACATAATGTTATAGTTTAAACTATATATATTAACTATATATATATAGTTATATATAATATATGTATTACCTATTATATATAATATATATTAACTATATTTTTTATTATATAAACGTTTGCACAAGAAACCTTATTTTGAATACCTATTATACGGTATAACTCTTACAAATGGATGCTAAAAATAAAATAAGTTATTTCATTCTATTTATATCCATCCTTCTGATGACAACAGCATCTCTAGTGCCAAGCTTTAGTCATGTTTGGATCAATAATAAACCCCAACACACAGATAATGATTCCTGTTTTACCAGTAATTGAAATGAGACACTTGGTTTCATGTCACTGGATGTGGTTTTGCAGAATATTTAATATAGGATCATTTTTTAGTTATTAAAATAAAATAAATGAAAGCCATTGTAAGCTTTAAAATATAAATAATATACACCTGTACATTGTATTGTTCCTGAAATATATCAAGAATTTTAAAACTAATATTTTCTTTAGTTTCCAAAATATTTGCATATTTTATCTTACTTAGTATGAAGCAAATGTTTAAACACACAATCTAAATAATGAATATACATATTAAAACTAAATATAATACATTTAATATATAAATACTAAAATTCACCCACAATTCATATTCAATCTTTAATAATTATTTCTTTAGAAATGAATATCTCTTTTATTGATTTAAACCTTATGCATTCTTTTCTAGGATTTTTTAAATCTAGACCCTGTCAGTATCCCCAGAATTAAAATAATAATGTTTCCCGGAGGTAAGCTATTAAATTATTCAAATAGGGCATCTTTGAGGGCTGGAATACTGCTGAGTTGGTCTGCTTGTCCCCCGACAGTTGCCATCCATCAAGTAAAAAGTACCAAATCCTCACCAGACTTATAGTCAACAACTACACGTAGTCACAGCTAAGAGACTCTGAATCTTTCTGGCCTAAAATATATGCTATTGTGTATGTTTTAATATACCACTTTTTTAACAGTAATGAGTCTTTCAAAATAAATCCTTCATCTTAAGGTACTTCATAATGAAATAATAAACAAAAGAAACAGGTACAGAGACACTCAATAAAGTAAAAACAATCAGAAATGAAGAGAGTATAAATGTCATTTTTAATTCAGGATTTACAATTCTGGCTGATTGACATGCAAGATACGAGATGGATTCCACAGTCTTGGAGCAACAGAACAGGAAGCACAGTTTTCCAGTGTTCAGAGATCTGTTTTATTAAATTGAAAGAAGTCTGGAGGTCAAAAGCACAAACTACATATAGGTGTATAAATAGTTAAGAATTCACAATTGTAGTCAGGATACTAACTGTTCAAGGTCTTTAAGGTGAGAAATAGTATTTTGACTTTTATTCTGAAATCTACAGAGAGCCAGTCCAGGAAATCTAAGACGCAATAAATCCAGATGCATTTTAGTTCAGTTCCAAACATACTGGTACTTTTTAAGGACACATTTGGCTACACCAGCATGCACAGCATTAGAATAATAGTGTGTAAAAACAAATTTATATATTAACATTATATATATTAACTTTCCTGCATCAGACCTTGAGATATATGAAGGAACATAAGCAATGTTAACAAAGATGAAAGGGACATTTTCACAATAATAACAACTAGAATTTCACGTGGAAGTGTCACCATGCATGCTGCCTTTCAATATCAAGTATTTGCTAGTGTTTTCTAAATGACCTTGATCATTACAATGATAATGCTTAAAAAAGTGATTAAACTATTTGTATACACTCTTGAGTAATTACTGTGAGTAACAATTATTGTTGCTGTGCATATTAGTTTATATATGCATTACATGCATTGCAATTTTTTAAACAAGTAATTTTTTAAACAACTCAGCTGTGGAGCCTTCCTCTGGTGTGAAGGCCGAAGAAGGCTCCATAGCCGAAACGTTGTGTTTTTCTTCTCATTTCAGTGCAGAATAAACCTTTACCTGTTCCTTTGCAGACCACACATGCTGATGCAGCTACCTACTTGAACTTTTACAATGTGTTTGTTCTTTACCAATTACTACTATATTACTTATGTGTTGCAAGGTTCTCTGAAGTTGTGATTAGTAATGGAAGACAAAAAAGAAATAAGGTTCATTACATGTTTAGATCTGAAAAACAGTAGGCAAAGTGGAAAACTAAACCCTTATTATATTTTCTAAAGATCCTACTTTTCCCATTGGTCATTTGAGCTTTTGTAAAGATAGTAAATAGCTTCACTAAAGATTTCCAGAATCATCTTATCTTTTACATTTTTAGATTTTACAGCATATAGTTTGCATCATGATAAATAGGAACCCAAGCTGAATCAATTAGAATTTACAAAGTAGGACATGAAACATACAAAATTAAATAACAAGAGAACTTCAGTCAATTACATACAGAAATGTATCATTCTTCATAATATAGCAGAAATATGATATTATTTCACCATTTCAAATGTGAAGCAAGTTAAATGTTTTTTAGAAAATATTACAACAGACACAAAATGAATGTTGACTTACCTGAAGCTCTTCTTACGAATCTGTTGATAACTGGGGCTGAAAAAAAATGGATGTTTGCTATCAATTATAAAAAATGAAACCGAAACCACTTCTAATTTTTAATTTACAGAAAGTTGTCAGTGTATTTCTAAAAAATTGCAGCCATCAGAATAAAAAGCTCTTTTGTTTACTAATTATTTGACTGAAATGACGAAAATCACAGGTACTTTTCAAATAAAAGACATTTTCTTGAAAGATTTGCACGGTGTAAATTATGTATGAATGGTGTATATTCATATGTAAAATTACAATATATGTATATATTGTATTATCATAATGCATCATTATCACACATTATTTTTTTTCTGATAGGAAAAATGATTACACACAATCAAACAATGAATATAATATTTGATTACTCAATATTTGAGAAGCTTAGAGGCATGTTGTCTTTGTGTTTGATCTTCTATTCACAAAACTAAAGGTCTTTCCATTTCTTCAATAATATTTCCTCTCTGCTAAGATATCACAATTAATTTCATGGAAGCAGTTCCTTTAAAATGTTTACAGAAACAGTTCTGTAAATAGGAATTGGCCAAAATGCCCTCACACCAACGAACAGGACTGATCAGAAGTTACAGGAATCATTTGGTTGAGGTCATTGTTGCTAAAGGAGGTTCCACCAGTTACTAAATCTAAAGGCTCAAATACATTTTCATCACAGAAAGTGAACATTTAAACAATGTGTTCAATATAGACGTGAAAAGGTACACTTGTTTATGTGTTGTTTAATAAGAGTGTTTATCTATTGTTATAACAAAAATGAAGATCAGATCACATTTTAGAAGTAAATACTGCAGGAAAACAGGTGATTCAAAGGATCCACAAATGTTTTCTCACATTTATGTGTGTGATCAGCGTCACCACAATCTGGACAGTATTACTAATTGTAGTACATTAGATATTTCTTAGGGTCCATTACTTTCAAAGTTCATTCAAGTTTACTAAAACCAAAATTAAATCTGCCAACTAATTAACATTATTGCATGTCAAAACCTGGACATGTATTTTGTACACTTTGTATATTTCATCATCTACAGTGTAAGCAGTTTCTATCTAATCTCTTTAGATTTCACTAACACTGTGGGGGACATGCTTTTCCAAACCATACATTTGGAAAGCAAGTGATTTTATGGTAACTAGGCAAACCTTTAAAAAGAGAACAGCTAAAGCCTGGAGATGCGCTTTACATAAATAAATTAAAAATGGAATAGCTACTTTCAATTTAATGTATAACATATTCAGATTGATATGTCTACGGTTTGACTTATTTTACTTTTCCCCTGCAGGACACTGTATGCTGGATTCATCTAATACCAAACCAGACCTTGCGGAAATATAAAACTTCCTGAAAAAGATACAGCATATTTCAAAAATAACCCAAACGTTTTGCACCATTTTCTGTTTGTTAGCCTATTGTTTTATATATTAGTGGAGAGGAATACTGCTAGATTATAAGACAAAGTTGTTAATAACCAATTTAGCAATCACACTGTATCTTTGAAAGTTTTTTTATTGTTCATGTATTGATTTTACTACACCTACCTGAAGTTAAAAAAATATTTTGCACATAAATAAATCAAACATAATATAGACTTTACTTAACCAAAACGGTACACCATTAGAAATAACATGAAATAACTGCTGCAGGCTTTTGTTGATCAATCAAAATAAAGTTTCCAAAAGTATTCTCCCCATGAATAAAGGCTTTGATATTTAATAAGTGTGGTAAGAATGAAAGAATAAAAGGGTCAACTAAGCCAACGTGTGCACTTAAGACTCAAGTAAAATAACAGCTCAATATAAAAATACGAGTGGGTCATATTTGAAGATTAGGACAGCTGACTATTTTACATTCTGAATCCACTTCAGTCTTATATCTCGTTTTCAAAATAAAAACAATTAAACACTAAGATCACATTCTCAGCCTAAGACTGAAGAAGTTGCATAACTGTTTTGGGGTTCTGAGGATTTCAAAACCGAAGCACAATAAAAGAGCAATCTCTTCTGTCTGTATGGCTCAGAGCGTATCAGGGATATAATAAACATAAATCCTCTTATCTGTGTAAAACTATCATATATTTTGGATTGTGAACTGATTGGCTAAGGCCTCAAAATTCTCAAATTTCTGTTGTGTACAACATCTCTGAAGGAAAGGTCTAAAAGGGCAACTGGGCAGAGAAGCTATTTAAATGATTACATCATAACACCTAGCCTTTCTTGCAGTGTCCGTTTTAGATGATTTTACAAAGGTTTTAGTACTATCCTAATAATTAAAACGCATATTTGCTTTCCACTTTGGAGAAATAAAGAGATGCACACTTTTCCATGCATTTTCTAACTGCTTTATCCAATAAGGGTCACAGGGACCCAGAACCTATCCTAATAAGCAATGGGCATAGCAGAAAATTCACATTCTATCAGAATATGTTTATTGAGTAGAAACAGGCTGATTCCATTCCAAAAGGTGGTTTTCTGTTAATACATGGATCAAGCTTTCATTTTTTCTTAGTTAATAAAATGTATCCAAAAAATTGAAGCCTTGGGGGTGAACACTTCTTTAATATAAAGATACAAAGATTCAGAAGAAAAAATGTTTAAGCAAAAAATCTTAGACATTTGTGTCTACCACAGAAGGTAAGTCTTACACAAGTGAAATCACAAAGACTACTCATACTACTACAGCTACAGTAACAGTTGCAAGGAACGTTCTTTTAATTACATGCTTTCAATATTGGCTTTGTGTTATACAACAGGTATATATTTTTGTGTTCAGGTATTACATTGTGCATTAATAATAAATAATAATAAACCCTTTCCACTTTATTTGATAACTATAGTACTGAAAATACAAGACAACAGCTGTTCATCACAGCTGCCTTTCCTGTCAATGTCACTACAAAATCACATTTTCTGATTCTGTGATTGTGACTTAATTTTTTTTATTAGAAAACATACATAACTATATAATATTCTTCACAAAATTCAGAAGAGAAAAACGGAGTAGGAAAGACCAATTGTCTGCTACTGTATGATAACTTTGTGTGAACTAAATAAAAACTATTTCTAGTATAACCTTTGTTAAATTAACTTCTTGAATTAATATTAAGAACTAAAAATGCTGAATGCCTTTTTTCACATTAAACATTTTAGATAGTTCTGATAGTAGGCTCTGGTATGCTTCACTGAACTAACTTGCAAAGGCTTAACCCAGAAACCTTCTGATGAAATAGAGAGTAAGTTATGTCACAAATAGGGGAAAACTTATTTTTTATTCATGTTTTGTGATTTGTTCACATAGCATAAGACGTAGTTCTTGTATCTTTAAAATAGATGAAAATTATTCACTTTTTCAACTAGCTGCATATCTACCACAGTCCTTCAAAGTAATTACAATTGCTAAACACTAAACACTGTACTGCTCATGAAAATAGCCTGACATTTCTTGGAACTGCATATTCTGCATATGACTGCAAAGCGCGATCACAGAGGTCTAATCAATCCCAATTAAACAGATGCACACAAACGGCATTTAATTTTGAAGCAATATTCTGGACTGAAAATTTAACACGAAAAGGGCTTAAGTGGGAATTTCCTGATGATGTCAATACAGCTGTTAGTCCTGTACCTCACTGTCATTTCACATGGCTGTTTCACATGTGTGTAAATCCAGCCATAGCAAATAACTCATCTTCTTTTTAAAGTTTAGTGTAGACCATCTTAAACCCTTACTGTACCAATAAGGTCAACTCAAACCCTCCACGATCTAGGTAAGTGATCATGACATTAAGTCAGTCACACACTATTTAAGGAAAACAACTTCACAATTAGCTCTCATTCACGATGGAGGGCAATTTCAGAAAGTGATTTCGGACTGCATCTCCCCTGCATAAGCAACACTATCACAGTACATGGCAAAATATCAACCTGAACTATTGAATTTTTTTTAATGAAATGGGATTTTATAAAACAAGCCTTGAGAATTTCAAAAACAGAATAAAGAAAAAAGAGTCTGAATTCTATAATTCAAAATCTAGAACAAAATGCTTACTTAGTCATCATGTTTTTTTTTTTCCCCAAAGCACAATACTGTATGTCTGTGACGTAAAGTCAGAATCATCCTTACTGAAACAGGCCTTATTTATGTTTACAGACTGCACTGAGATTCATAAAGCATACCAGGAGTAGTCCCCACAATTTAAACTCCATCTTCACACAGAGCAAATCCAATGTACTGTAGAATGTGCACGATAGCCTCCAGCTGGAAAGTACAACAGACGGCCAACTGGACATCAAGGTAAGATCTTTCTTTTGGGGACTATAAAAAAAAATATGCAAGGCCGGCAGCTTTAGCACACTGTTCAGAGCGTCTCCATATTTTTAAACAACAGAAACAAATGTTTACGAAACCTGTACATCATGAATTACGTGTTTAACGTTCCAAGAGTGAGAAAATTACATAACGGGCCCTTTTAAAGTATCTCCCCACAAGTTACATGGAACAGGTATCTCACTATAGTGCACACCACACACAAACTGTAAGTACACATAGTGTAGAGGTGCGCTGTATAATGTGCACATCAGGCTTTGTTGCGAGGGGTGTTATTAATATTATCCAAGCTGTCGTCTGAGGCCCTGCGCGGTGCCTCGTCAGCTATTTGCGCTAAGGTGCTGTCAAGGAGAGAATCTGGCGTTTACCTTTCAGAAAGGTGCTTGTGTACTATTTTCTCAGCGATACTGTCAAAATATGCTGCTGCTACACGTACTGTATATCGAGATAGACGGCTAACGCCAAAAAATGACCATTTCATGAGCATTCGTCTGCTGGCTGGGTCTATTATTCTATTAATAACGCGTACATTAAATCGATCTTAGAAAGAGTTAATTTATTTCAGGGAAAAAAAAATATAAGTATCCTTCACTGCGCTTTGGGGGGGTGGGATTTGTTCGTGCGGGATCGGTATTTTATTAGTATTTCGAAGCACGTTTACACTGCAGGGTTCGCAAACTACCGACATTTGCTTAAAATAAAGACGAGAATCGTAATCCCTGGTCCGGGCAATAAAAGTCATAATAACAATAACGTGTGTTACCTACGAATTCCTCGTCGTCTTCATCATCCTCCTCTCCATTTTCCGAATCCGTTTGCATGGGTTCTTCAATAAAGTTGACTCCCTTCCCGGGTCTATAAGACGAGTTTTGCTCATGGCCCAGTGCCTCCCCTGTACTCTGACTTTCCTTCAGCTGGGTGAAATACTGCAGGGCAAACTCGAGCAGATCTCCCGGCTGATTCCTCAAGACCTCCACTGTAAAGCTCTGCAACAGCTCCGTCAGCCCTGCAGGGATTTCTATACTCATTCCTATAATCAATCTCTGGAGAAATAAGTGCAAAATAGTATCACAGGAATTCGATCACCCTAGTTGTTGGTTTTTAAAGCTCGGCTCCTGAGTGATAAAATTTGAGGAAACGGGAGAAAAGTTTCCGAAAACAGATCAATCCAAAATGTGCAGTGCAGCTGACAGGGGTTTTGTCTGCAGCACACGAGTCCCAGTGCTTTCAACACAGACCTTCCTCCTCTACCGCCTGCTGAATGAAAATGGCAGTGAAATTTGTAGCATCTATGCCGCTGGCTGGCTGGCTACAGGAAGCCCATGCATGTGACCCGAGAAACCATGGCAACCACCCATCCAGGGATTGCGTGCGAGAGCCGCTGCGAAACTGCAGTGACTGAGGAGCTTCGGGAATACCTGGTGTAGACCGGCACCGTGTGCCGCTGGTGTCTATTTATGCGTGCCACGATGGCAAAGTTCATTTTAAGTAGCATCCATTTCGCGCCTGAGAGCGCACGTTCATGTGCAACGTGCCATTTTGCAACCCTAGCCGTGTACGCAGTTGTTTTTAATGCCTCCAGGTGAACGCTTCACACTGTCGGGAGTAAGGTGTAACTGTAGGTTTCTCATTGGTGAATTGAACTGCGGAGAAAGAATAGTTTTAAACTACAGTACATAACTCGAAAAACCGACCGCATGTTGCCTATTTTGAGAAAGGAAAATGTTTTCATTGTGGTTTCAATGGTTTGCTTTTTAAGGTCATTCAACGTTACAAAAAAGCCCCCAAAACACCATCTACCGAAAAAAAAATGCATCTGATAAGCGTCACCTTTTTCGACGATTCGCAGCCCGTGTTGCAGGATACTTGTTGTATATATATTGAAAAACAGAAGTTCTCTATCGTATAACGCAGTTTAAATTGAACAAGGATGCAGGAGTTAAACAGTACTACGTTACCGTTTCTGCTGTGCTCGTCGAAGGGGCCGTTAGGCACGTGTCTTAGATTTTGAACCGGGTGATGCCGGAGTTCAAACGGTTTTGCTTTCCCGCCTGGAGTTTCTGCTGTGCGCTTGCTAGAACCGCCAATACATACACGTCTAAAATGTAGGCTACAGCAGACAGGGCTACCACTTAGCAGGACGTTCTGTGTACTTGACGTAATTTTCTTTTTTTAAAAAAAAAAACCCAGGTATTTCTGCATGTGTTGCGTTTTCCCCTTGCATTTTACAAAAAAGTTGCAATGTACTATAGATCAACCCCAACAATGGACCAACCCCAACAATAGACCAACAATGGGAGAGGGGGCTTCTGCTAGGAAAGCTTATCTATAAGTGGGAAACCCATACGGGGACATTCAATAGTAATAAGGGCATTTCTCGAAAAGAGTAGGAGTATTCCCCTGGTGTAATGGCCAAATTTCCCATTGGCCTTTACCAGTCATGGCCTCCCAATAATTCCCATCTATGAATTGGCCTCACCATTCTGATCTCCCCATTAATAGCTGGTGTGTGGTACTGCACTATAGCTGCCGTTGCATCATTCAGGTGGGGGCTGCACATTGGTGGTGGTGAAGGATCCCCATTACCTGTAAAGCAGGATACGGAGTGTCCAGAAAAGCGCTATATCAGTGTAAGGAATTATTATAATGATGTTTATAGAGTTTAACATGTAATTTCCAAAGTTTTTTTCAGCACAATTGGTACAATCGTAAAGACAGGTATACTGAATATCCCAAAGAGTAGTAGGCTACAACTTTGAAAATAAGTTACTTATAAGTAACTTTACTTAAATATACTTGATTTGTATATGGTGTGATGAGGCACATCATCAACTCAGAGAGAGAGGATTAACACACACTAAGTGTTCTAAATCTAGAAACGTCTTGTTGGTTTTCCATATTGTTTAAAAGGCTGCTAACTAATAGAAAATAAAGTTTTGATTTTTAATTGTGTAATTTAATTATGGTGTTTTTCCTTAAATGGGTTGAATATTTCAGCTTCACAAACAATTGCTGTTTGAGAAACATTTATTTTTTATCAGATTGTTGGCCTTCTTAAGTGTGCTCTTTTTACCTTTGTAAATTCCAGCCCTCCTAAATTTGAATTATTATGTTACATTGTTTAAGTCTTCGTTGAAAACCCACTATAAAAACAGTGAGAACTAACAGTCAAGTTTCCCCGTTCTGTTTCACAGGGGAACTATCTTAATGGATATCTAAATGCAGTTTTATATCCATTAAGACCTTTATTAGACTAAATTTAGTCAAAACTAGGTTAAGTGATAATCAGTCTGCTCAGTGACTACAACTTTCTGTACATTGCACTGCTTCAACGCGGGGTCACACAGATTACCTTCAAGTGCTTCTTTACAATATCAGCATCTTTTACAGTTTTGATGTTCGAGTCAAGGAGGCATTGCTGAAAGAGAGTAGTTTTCCTCCAGCAATATCTGTGACAATGTAAAGTATTAAACTTATCACCTGAAGGATCTGATGTGTAAAAATAGTTACTTCCATATGCACTTCCAAGAGTAGCAGGTTTAGAGTTAACTGTCTTCAAAATCTTTAAAAGGAAAAACTGTACTGCAATGCTAACTTCATACAAGGTGTGAACTACTATAAGAGATCCAAGCAAGAGTCAAAAGTCTATATGGAACTGTATTTGTTTATTTTCGTTTTAATATTAAAATATTTAAACAGACAAAAAAAACAGATCACACACTTAAGTGGTAGCTTAAGGTCATCATTGTTTAATTTCTAGTTGTTTGTTCCATTGTTATTAATTAGATTGTTTCCCAAAAGAGTAAACAAAACAGGATTCTATGTATTTCAGTACAAAGTCTTTATTTTACAAATCTCTCTTCAGCTGGAAAGGAAACTCACTTCAAAAAAGAAAACTATGCTTTTAGACTACTTATGTTTTATTTGTTGTTTGTGGAAAACAAAAGAGCAAAAAACAAAATCAGAGCTAACAGCATTCCTAGGTACTACCAGATTGAACTCTATATATACCAGCAAAGAAAAAAGAAACCAGAAATGAGTTGAGTCTCTATCTTCAGTGAGGACATCAATAAACCCCAATCAATAAATTCATGAGTTGTGAGCCCAGAAATAAATCAACTTATATTTAATCACTATTGAGGTCATTGTCAGAAAAAATGGATACATTGAAAAATACAATAACGAAGTCTATGGGAATGATTTCTAAAAACATTCAAATGTTGCATGTTCCAAAATCCAAATGTTCCAAATTTTTTTGCAGTTCCCATCAGAGTGCAAAAAAATTCTCAAAATTAAAAATTCAGAAACTCAACAAGGCGTGGGAGGCTGAAGTAGATGAAAAAGCCTCATATTCTGCAGAATCCTGAGTTACACTGCACTACGAGAATGTATGTACAGTACATCATGGCACCACTTTAAAAGCTGGTGATACTTAAAACACCAGTAGATTATATGTTACCTACTGTATGAAAATGTCATTGAGAAAGCATGCTTTTTTGCAGTAAGTATTTTTGCTGAACTGTAGAGATAATAGAATTTATGCCTCATTCACAAATGATTAGAGGCCATAAGCTGAAACTTATCCAACAACAGGCCTGTGGATAAGATGTACCTTTATGGGTGAGGCCTCTTGCATTATAAAAGCAATCACACTGTTTTTTTAGCCTTGCCTAAAAAAAAAAGACATAAGTTGTCCAAGGTGGCCCTGTGAAAGCTTGCCCAGTCTTAGCTTGTAAACCTATTTCTGGGTTCAGGCAAAATATATGATCTGCATCCCGATGGCCAGTCAACGCCGAACACCACTTTCATCAGTGGAAACCTGGGAGATCTCGGCAGGCTCTAGAATGGCCTCCCTCAGGAGTTGAAATGACTGTTTTCTGCATGTTATTATCACTCTGTCATAAATTCATTTCCTTGTTGTCCTGGCTCTGCAGTACCTCATTTAATTAAAATCAAGATGTGAAACAATGACAATGGGGAAGGTTTTGAAGTGTGGGTGAAAATCTAAATCTGCACTTGTATGATGCACTAACTACATAACTAATGTTATGTCCTTTGGACAAGGCATTAATCCAGGGTTCTAGCTACATGATCATTAAACGTTCCAATGGCAGTGTTAACCCAGGTGTCCTGATTTAATTCCACTGTGGATTTGCATAATCTGCCCATCCTAAATTTCCACTTAATTCAGTTGGTAAGCAATTTATCACTCCCCCACTTGACCTGCAATGTAGTACAGGGTGTCTGAACCATAATGGATGCCCTCATCAACTAGTTGGGAGCTAAACTTCAACAGTGGATAAAGTACGGCCCCTCCAGTATTTAAAGCACTCTGTCAGCAATTGAATGTGGAAAGTTCCACGTATTGGAAAGGTTACAATTGTCAATATACTGTATACTAAGTGGTATTAAATATCCAACAAATGCAGATTTGAAGCAGTAGCTTGTGTTATGTTTTTAATGTATCTCGGTATATGAATGTAAGAACATTATAACATTGCAAAGATTACAAAAGAGACAATGTCCACTGTTGTTGTTGTTGTTTACAATAATAGTTAATTTATTTGAGGATTTCATCCAACTGTTTCTTGAAAGAAGCTAGATTATCAGCTTTGCTCCAGATATTGTAAGAATAATGTTGGTATTATTATTATCTTTATTGAAAACAACATCAACAGAAATACTGACCAGAAAAGAAGGAAGATCTCAACTGAAATGCAGAGAAAAAGGAAAAGAAAAAACAAAGGAAAGTGACCACTCAAATAAACTGTGTGCTTTTAAAAAATCTCTGTCAAGGATGAAACAATTCTTGGCGCTGAATAACATAATTTGGCTATGCTTGTCTCTACATAAGAATAATATCTAGAAAAGAGTGCAACCATAAGAGATTTAAATGGAGATTCACAAGATACATTTTTGGTTATAGTAAAACCTGCCAACAGATGTTGTATATAGAGACCGACAGCCATATGGGAATCGTCACTGGGTAAAAATAGTGCAGGACCCCTTTATGTAGTTCCAATGGTTATATAGTTCCACCACATATAAAACCAAAGGTAGTCTATCTCAGAGCATTTCGACATCAACACAGCCACATTCCTATGTGTACACCTGTGAGAGTGAACTACATCTGTATTGGATAACATGTTTAACATGCATCAACCAGTGTGTTACATTTCTAGATGAAAACTCTACATAATATATAAAGAACTGGAATTAAACTGATTTTATGTGCAGAAAGAACGTATTTAGGGATGAGACCTTGAAGAATAAACATTAGTCAGTCATCCAATTTTTTTTGAGAAACAAAAAAAAATGGAAAAACACTGGGAGATCGTAGGTTTTCTTTAGACATAAAATATGTCCAGTCTGGCACCCCCAGAAATCTCCCAGGGTTCAGTATGAATATTTTCTGCACCATAATAAATAAGTTAAAGACTGACAGACAGTAAGACAAAAGTTCTCCAGATTGGGGAGAATTTGTGGACTTTTCGTGTTGTGGCAAGGAAGCCATTGACTCTCTTTCCAAATCTGGGCCATTCAAAAAGAAACAGTTCTATATATTATATAAAATGGATACAAGCAGGTATATACTGTATATATACTGTAAACAAGCAGGTATATAGTGTAAACAAGCAGGTTTGTGAATATTGCTCTCGATTTTGAGATGGTTCTGCCAACAAATGCTACTTGTTAAATCTGCATGGAGATCATGTTGGAACATTTCTGTTACTTATTTGCTAGTACAT